TGATGTGTATTACAGAAACCCAACTCGCTCACTTGCCTGACTGACCGAACACTCGCCTACCCGCCCACTCACTCACTCACTTACACTCATTCGACAGTCACATAGCTTATTAATAGCAACAACAATATGACCTGACCCTGCTGTAGAGCTGGGGCAGAGGAAAGCTTGGTAGATACACCACTTCCTGGTTGCCAGATAGGGCAGCTATCTGTTCCTACAGGCTACACACCAGCATTGACATACCGTATGGCCCAGAATAACATGCAGTTAGTGCTTCATCTATGACACTGACAGTACATGTTATCTCAGAGGTCCTCATGTTTGTTTAGTAGCAGCAGTAGAAACTAACTGAATTAATGCGCTTGTCCTTATAATGATAACATATAATAAAACTCGTAAAAATGGAAAATTTCTATTAGTCCTTATGATACCTTAACTATTGTGCGTTTTGACAAGGACTACAGGACTGAATAGGAAGAAATGATTTCAGAGTTTTACCTTGACTAACAAGATTGAGGACCAGGGTACCCCGGTAATTAATTTCAAGAGTCCTGTAGAGTAAGTAAGTGGTGTACTGCACTGTACTGCACTGCACTGCACTGTACTGTACTGTACTGTACTGTACTGTACTGTACTGTACTGTAAGATTTGATCATTATTGTAATTATGGGACCTGTATATTTCTTGTCAAGAGTGTGGTACAATTAATATTATTGTGCGTCCCTTGTACGCACCATTTCTATTTCTGTGTCCATTCTGTACATTTGTGTGTACTGGGCCCACATTTCTGAGTCATATTACAATTGTATCATAACTCAGTTAAAGTTGACATCAATACACTAGGTATTATAATGAGTTCAAAGATGTGATACATACCACGAATGTGAGGTCAGGATACGATACGTATCACTATTGTGAGGTCAAGATACGATACGTATCACTATTGTGAGGTCAAGATACGATACGTATCACTAATGTGAGGTCAAGATACGATACGTATCATGATACACTAAGAGTCACACGAGAGGAAACATTAAGGATTCATGTGAACACAAATATTTTTTAGACTATAATAAAGTCCATGTTTTTGGTGGATATATCCCATTTGGACGTAATGTCACACTGAAAACAACCTGGATTGTTCCGTGCACAGCCATGATACTTGCAACATACTTGTAACTATATAGCATATCATTACCATTGATTGTATCGACCTACAATAAGATACAACATCGACACTTGATGAATTGAGAAACAGCTATATGTCAGTGAACCTTCCCAACTCTGACAGTATGTAAGTCAGAAAATCTGATTTTTGTATGTTTTAAAAACTTTCAGAGCTACTCATGGTATTCATATGATTAATATCCTCAAATAGCAACAAGGATCATGTTTGTGCTTCAAAACAAAAAGTTAAGACAAATATATCCTGCAATTAATGTAAAATATCACTATTTTTCTTGAAGATTACTCTACTGTATTTTGTGGGTTCTTCAGTACTGAAGATCCATGTAGTCTAACCCCAAATCCACTTATAGCATTAAATAATCCCATCCCACAAAATAAAAGCCTCATCAGCCCAGCCCACAAGACCAAAACCTTATCATCCCAGCCCACAAGACCAAAACCTTATCATCCCAGCCCACAAGACCCAAGCCTGACATCATCCCAGCCCACATGACCAAAACCTTATCATCCCAGCCCACATGACCAAAGCCTTATCATCCCAGCCCACAAGACCAAAGCCTGACATCATCCCATCCCACATGATCAAAGCCTCATCATCCCAGCCCACATGACCAAAGCCTTATCATCCCATCCCACAAGACCAAAGCCTGACATCATCCAAGCCCACATGACCAAAGCCTTATCATCCCAGCTAACAAGACCAAAGCCTCGTCATCCCAGCCCACAAGACCAAAGCCTCGTCATCCCAGCCCACAAGACCAAGCCCACATGACCAAAGCCTCATCATCCAAGCCCACATGACCAAAGCCTCATCATCCCAGCCCACAAGACCAAGCCCACTTGACCAAAGCCTCATCATCCCAGCCTACATGACCAAAGCCTCATCATCCCAGCCCACAAGGCCAAGCCTCATCATCCCGGCCCACAAGACCAAGCCCACTTGACCAAAGCCTCATCATCCCAGCCCACATGACCAAAGCCTCATAATTCACTATGAGGAAAAAGTTGTCAGTGGTATGTGTTCCTTCTGTCATTGCAAGCTGGAGATAAATCCATGTGGTTCAGGAATGTTTACCTGCTAATCTGTAACGTCATCAGGCATCAACCCAGGATTGCTTTAGATAGGTCCCATGCACTTTGTTGCTTGTAAGAGGCCATGTATAACCCGGTCAGACTTTCTTGATTGTGTTACTATCATGGAGCCCTTACTTTGTGGGATGTGCTCATAATATCAGTCAACCCGTGATGATCCGGGTAGGGAATAGGGCTTCACCAACCCATGCTTGCAGTTAGAGGCGTCTAACAGGAATGGGTGGTCAGGCACACTGACTAGGTTGATGCATGTAATCTCCATGAATTATGGACCTGTGAAGATCCGGGGTAGAATAGGTATTCAGCAACCCATGCTTGCTGTAAAAGGCAACTATGCTTTTCGTAAGTCTAACGGGATCAGGTGGTCAGGCTTGCTGACTTGGTTGATGCATCTCATCGTATCCCAATTGCATGGATCGATGTACATGATATTAATCACTGGATTGTCTGTCCAGACTTGATTATTTACAGATCCCTGTCATATAGCTGGAATAATGCTGAGTGCGGCGTTAAACAGCAAGCAAGAACGCAAGCAAGCAAACATAATATCAGTCACTGGCTCGTCTAGCGAAGACTTAAGTTTTGATTACATACTGCTTTGGTATAGCTAGAATATACGTTAACCCATGAATGTCTGATTGTAGTGAAGGATCTGGACCACATTCAACAAAGTGATCTTTAGTGCTAAGACAACGTAGCTCCCATACTTTAACTAGGCCTTACAACAGCCGTAGCTGAGATTGCCTTGAGGAACAGGCCCTGATCTTAAACCCTGTAGTGGTCAAAATACAATCATCATAATACGTCTACGCATAAATCCAACATTAATCATAAAAGACGAATCTGAATGATGAATTGAGGAAAAAGGCACAAAGAAAGAAAATTACGTACAGTGTGAATCTGCGCATGATGCCTCCATGGATGTCAGCCTCTTGACATGACGAAAATACCGTCAGTGTTGTTGTCTACTCAGAGTCACTTACAGAACAATGGCAAATACACACTGACCTGCTTGTCTGCTTGTTGATTGCCATCATTACAGAAACTCGTTAATAGCATCACTGCGATAATAGGCATAGAAATATGGTAATCGTCATTAACGATTCCGAGCTAGTATATATTGGGAGCAAGAATGTTGAAATTTGTTCAAGGTAATGTTTCATATTCATTGATCAGTTGTTTCTCTGTTGCCCACTCTCGGCCTGTATTTCATGTTGTCTTCCTTCACCAGTCTGTCAAGTGCTTGTTTCAGTCTGTTTGCGATATTATGGGATGTAGTTGGACCTTGAGTGTAGATTTGTTATGCAGGGATATGTCGCCTCCTTCACAGGGCTTGTTTACTGTGTTGGTAGAACAATGTGTTCATTGTGTTTGTCACAACATATGTGATCCTGTTTGACATAGAAATTGACAAAGCCAGTGAGAGTTATTTTCGTTGCTTTGATATTTTGGATCAGTATCCCCGATGCAAATCCAGATTAGAATTGATCTGTAGCCACCCAAGCTTGTAGGAGGAGACTAACGGGATCGGGTGATCAGACTTGCTGACTTGGTTGATGCATGTCATCGTATCCCAATTGCGTGGATCGATGCTCATGATGTCAATCACTGGATTGTCTGGTCAATTACTTGATTATTTATAGACTGTCGTCAAATAACTGGAATATTGCTAAGTGCAGTGTTTACAAACAAGCCTTTCGGTTGTATCGAGCATGTCAACTTAAGGTTGGGGGAAAGCCAGACTGATGTAGGTCCTAGGTGTTTAGAAGGCCCTGACAAACCAATGATCATAATCATCTACAGTTGATCATAATCATCTACAGGTGATCAACGCAAGGCAATATTGTCACTGATCGAGGCATTGCAAATGTTTTATTTGAACTTTAGTTATGTTGATATTTTGATATTATGATGTAAATGATCTATTTTTTTATATAATTAGTATTTATTACATATTATATACTGAATGCTAACTGTGATATAATGTGATGTATGGCTGTCAAACATGGACAGTGTTAGGCAGGCAAAGGTAGTGTGACTCTAGAATAGGATCGCCATCTCTTGCCCCATCTGATTAGGTCTCAAAACTTATTTTATGCACAGCAATTATACATAGGCTCATATATGCCATGGTTCCAGGGTTATTCAGTGAAGGGAGCTCGCTTGCCTCAGTGTATATATGGCCAAGGACCGATATAGCCATGTGTGATCATTATGTTTCATCAGTGTAGTATCAGACTCACTCATTCACTTAGTTATAGAAGTATTTCACTTATTTTTGTGCAATTTCTCTTTTTCAGTTTTGTTTGCAGACAGTGTTAAAAATTTCTAAATCCTTGGGGAGGTGTTAAAAGAAAAGGGGGTTCTTGTACCTAGCAAAGATGATGCAGACATTTCATTATTAGGCTAAATGTTCATATTTCTTATCTTCTTGAGTTATACCCTCCAATCCTCTCCCCCCCCCCCCTCCTCTCCGTAACTCTCTACCCCCTAACCCCAACCCCACCCCATCCCACCCCCAGTAATGTTATATTTGTTTCTATAAGCACAAGAAACACTTCCTTAAAGCAAATGTTTAAAACAAACTTACCCAGGTGAATTTTCAACACTGTCTACAAGACCTACGAACTTGCTTACAGTCCTCGTTACACTGTCGTGGTCAGGTTATTAGTGCATGCCATGTTTTTCTGTTGTTTGCACTGTGTGTTCTACTGCGACAGGGTCATCTAAGCCGGCCAACAAATTTAACACTGTGGCGAGCCATCCTGCTCGCATGCCACCAAGACTGCCGAAGTGGGAGGGTTCGAAGGATGATGGTAGATGCACCGACTGCATTGCATGAATATATATTGCTCCCCTCCATGTGTCCTATACTGCTCAATGTTTGATAGGGATAACATAATTAACAATCCAGGCTGTGCCAAACAAAGGATACGTTTTGAAAATGTGTCTATATAGGGATTAATCGGAACCCGCTCAAAGGCCAATATTTGGCCCAGGTCAGCAAAATATGCCGGTACAAATTCCAAAACAGGAATACATATCTAACATATCTGCAATATTGAATACTATTTGTGTGATAACATATCCAACAGTTAGTTACATCAAGGGCCCCAGCTGGAGACCTAGAATATCCCTATGAAATATTGAGCAGTATAAGGTGTATTAATCCTATTATTTCTTTCTTCATTCCTTGGCTATGTGCTCTGTCTGCCTTGAATTGTAACCATAACATCCATATTTCTGTTGTACTGAATTATTTCAACTATTTACACTTGGTAAGGTCCCTATGTCTTATAGGGAATCTGTTTGGAAAACACTATGGGACAGCCTGTAGCTCTGTGCAACTTGACAAGTCAAAATCAGAATGGTTTGTAGGTAGCAGAGATACTGCAGACATACAGCATGGTGTCATTAAATTTTCTATTAGTTATGTAGTTTGGAGACGTATACAAATGATATATTGTTGGCTGCGATGACGTGAAAGCAGTCACAGCACTTTGGGGTAGCAACAATGTAATACAACAGAATGTTGGATGGTTCTGTGTGTTGTGATATTGCTTCTTTTGTATATTTGACCGCATCATTACAGCGACGACATACAGTCATGTTTCTTCCACTTTCGAACTGCCCTTCAGTTTGAGAGAACATAATAGCGCCATACATGGCTTTTGCCCATTCAGTGATAGTACCCAAAGACATCCACTGATTTACATGTTTTCTCAATAGACTGAACCATTTAGATTGTGTCTATGTATTGTTGCAGGTTTGGTATCACGGTTTATCACTGTACCAGTAACATCATGCAGACTTAATCACTGTACCAGTAACATCATGCAGACTTAATTGCTGTACCAGTAACATCATGCAGACTTCATCACTGTACCAGTAACATCATGTAGACTTCATCACTGTACCAGTAACATCATGCAGACTTAATCGCTGTACCAGTAACATCATGCAGACTTCATCACTGTACCAGTAACATCATGCAGACTTCATCACTGTACCAGTAACATCATGCAGACTTCATCACTGTACCAGTAACATCATGCAGACTTAATCACTGTACCAGTAACATCATGCAGACTTAATCACTGTACCAGTAACATCATGCAGACTTAATCACTGTACCAGTAACATCATGCAGACTTAATCACTGTACCAGTAACATCATGCAGACTTAATCACTGTACCAGTAACATCATGCAGACTTAATCACTGTACAGCATCAACTTTTTGAGCAATTGAGTTTTTACTCTAGGATTTCTATTTTAATTGAGTAATTCGTGAAGATTCCGGGGTAGAAAAGGTCTTCAGCAACCCATGCTTGCTGTAAAAGGCGACTATGCTTGTCGTAAAAGGAGACTAACAGGATCGGGTGGTCAGGCTTGATGACTTGGTTGATGCATGTCATCGATCCAAATTGCGTGGATCGATGCTCACGATATTAATCACTGGATTGTCGGGTCCAGACTCAATTATTTACAGACCGCCGTCATATAGTTGGAATATTGCTGAGTGCTGCGTTAAACAACAAACAAACAAACCAATTATTTGGGTTATTACATTTTTCATTGGGTAACCACTACTTTTTCACTCATCTATTCATCACTCTATTGGGTATTTCCCCAAATTAGTGGACATTTTAAGATTTAAAAAAAAGAAATAATGTTTTAGTTGTATGTAACTGTTCCAAGTATATAGGCTTGATTCGGAAAGTAAAAAGCTCGTAATTTTGTTTAGGAATTTAGCTCCTTTGTACGCATGCTGAGAAAAAGCTTCATTGGGTATTTACAAGTGCTGTTTTTATACATTTGAGTTTTTCATTAAATGCATGCGTTTCTGTACGCAAGTTAATTGAAAGTAATTGGGGTTTAAATATTGGGGGGGGGTTTGGCATGTTGGGAGAGGAATTTTGGTCACTTTTCATGTTGTCATAGTATCTGTACTCAAAATATTAGACAGTCTTGTTTGTATGGTAGCAAGCTGTAAATGCATGGAATTTTTCAAAGTTAGCTTTTAGCAAGTACCATTATTTGCAGACCGATGTGATAATTGCCGAGTGCACTGTCAAACAACATACAAACAAAACAAACGAAAGATCGATGTTCATGATGTCAATCACTGGATTGTCTGGTCCAGACTTGATTATTTATAGGCAGCTGTCATATAGCTGGAATATTGCCGAGTTAACGGCATTAAACAACAAACAAACATATTCTAGGTGTGTATGTTAACTTGGAATCTAACATTAGGCTTGAATTTAGTTATCATGTAAGAGTTAGGGTATGAGTTGCTGAAGGGGCAGTTGTGTGTATGTTTCATGAACGTCGCTGCACCTACATGATGAATGTGGCAGGCATTAATTAGGTCACAAACATGGTCTGTGGGTGGTAATTACCAAGCCGGAGGCAGGCAGGCGGGCGGGAATGTACTCCAGTTGGCTTTTGTGACAGGTGCTTGGAACGACAATTACATAAGTTATATTGATCAAGTGTATAATTAGGTTTGATATGTTCATTATTACGAATCAGTGTGTGCATGTATACAGATTTATCTAGGCCAGGCGTTTGTTATACAGAGCTATTGTCGCCCTAAAGTTATCGTAACTCTCATACTTAAACATAGACTACTGTCGTTGAACTACGATCGCCTTGTGGATAGGGGCCCTGGCTCACATTCAACCTCAAATCTGCAACAAATGTCAGTAAAAGTGCCTAAATTGGAATTAAGAATGTTTGACACAAACAACATGCATCAAGGCATGCAATAGCATTGCAGTAGTTTCGACTTTTTTCCAGGGATAGAACTAACATTTTTAGTCCACTAAGTAAGTCCTTATTGTGATAACACATGGCCAAACCCTTAAAATGGCAAAGTTCTACTTGTCCTTATGATACCTTAATTATTGGTCAGTTTTGCAAGGACAATTGTGCCAATTTCTATCCACACTGCTATACACTATGATACTTAAGAAAAGGTTTTTGATGGATGATATGGGATTTAGAAATTTTGGACTTCACATAGCAACAAATAAAACTGAATGGACAAAGAAAATTAGCTAAAAACATTTTGCACATATATCAATCAGACTTTTATCTTGGGGTAGAATAGGCCTTCAGCAACCGTGCTTGCTGTAAAAGGTGACTATGCTTGTCATAAGAGGCGACTAACAGGATCGGATGGTCAGGTTCCCTGACTTGGTTGATGCATGTCATCGATCCCAATTGCGTGGATCGATGCTCATGATGTAAATCACTCGATTGTCTGGTCCAGACTCTATTATTTACAGACCGCCATCATATAGCTGGAATATTGCTGACTGCTGCATTAAACAACAAACAAACAAACAAACAAACAAACAAACAAACAAATCTATAATTAAAAAAAATAAATCAGTAAAGGCAAGTTGTTTTTGTTTTGAATGTCTTTCAGCAACTTCATTCCAAATCGTTTAGTACTTCATATAAGTTTGAGCTGAGTGAGGGAGACATAGGATCTTCCACTCATGCTTTGTCGAGGTTGTCATGGTAATTAAATAAAACATTTTCCGGGATAAAACAATTTTGTACAATGTTGACGAGGCTGTTGTTCAAGTGTTCCTGATTCAGGTCATACACAGCCTTCGTTTCCTGGTCGAGATGAGCCAGGGACCTCTTGTATGTATCAACTATTGTCCACCAGCAAACTGCCTATTGTATACGGGATTGTTACTTTCCTGTCGCCATTATATGCAAGAATACCAGGGAAAGGGTGATAGTTGAGGTGGCCAATAATCCCGAGCACAGGATACCGGAGTAGCTGCCACAGCACCAGAGATTGGATTGTAGACCTCTGAATATAAGTATGTTATCTACCATTCTTACATTCGTTAATGATAAGTCTGTTATGAAACTGGGAAGTATGGCAGTATTAGGGCGTTTTAAAGAGGTGACTGTAGATATGTATCAGATATCTCTTTACAATATGGTTACCATTGTTGTCAGCAGGGTATGAAACTCCCAAAATTTTCAGCCAGACCACAGGACTGGCTAGCTGAAACACTTGCCAGCCCTGACCAAAACCTGCCTGCCCACTATAATCATATGTTTCTCAGGATAATTTAATTAAAACTTTAAATCGAATTCATTGAACATGAAGCAATGCAAAAAAAGAAATAGCAAACACTTTTTAGGTCAGATTTGTATTTAATATCCTAGAATACATCATGTAAATAATGCTTATCATCGGGAAATATTTAGAATATTTTTACATATGAAATATAACCCGACCGTCGGGCAGGGGGATTTGAAAATCTGGCAGCCCGAGTTGAAATCAACCAGTCTCGGACGGTCGGGCAGGTAGGTATTTCGAACACTGTTGTCAGTGAAGCTATTATTATACTTTATCTATGGCACTATAAAGAGGGTGTTGTAGTGAGGATGCACTGTACATGTCACTGGAAATATTAATATGTCTACATACCAGATGGTTGCCATTGTTATCAAGGAAGCTATTATCAATATGTAAATATGATACTTTAGAGAGCCTGTTAAGATGAGGGTTGACAATGTGTCACTATAAATAGGAACATGATATCTACTTAGAAGGCAGTTACTATCACTGTGGATACAAACATCAAACTGTTAATGTAAGGAAAGTCAGTCAATAAAGTTATGACTGGTGAGGCACAAACTTCCTGCATGTCCGAGAGACTGCTTGCGTAGGGCTCATTTCAAACAGTTGTGCATATCGGAAGTTTGGTTCACCAGAGCTTCAGATAGGCTGCGTATCTGCGTAAAATTCGCATCAGAAATGCAGAAATATGCAGTCAAATAAAATTCAAGCGTATCAAATACGCAACAAACATTACAGATACGCTACAAAAATAAAACTAGTGCGTATCATCAAAATATTGTGAAGTAACCCTGCATATTCGATTAGCAAATCAAACTTATTTTGAAATTATATACGGACGTTCCGTCAACCTTGCCAAACTCCACGATGACAGTTACATCATGATCATTTGCCATCACACTTTCTTATGGAAGTATCGTGGTATTTTTGAGTCCTATAAAGCTCTCGAACCCACACTACACCAGTTTGCAGGGACTAGATGAATAGTGTTTTTAAATATTTAACTTAATTATCCACATGTGTAAAAACTAGTGGGTAACAGAAATTTGAATACCCAGATAGAATTACTGATACCCAATGATTTTAAAATGCATGGGTCAAATACCCACAACACCAAAAGCTTATCTGGAGCAGGGCAGGTCAAGGGGCAGGTTCAGGCTCCTTGATAAAAAATTTTAGGGCCCAGGCAGGTCTTGGAAGGTTGTATATAGGTTACATGGAGGTATGTATTGTAAGGACAAGTCTTGTCAATAGTGTTATCCAGTGCCCACTTGACGTTCTGATTTTGATTTAGAACACTGCATATTGAAAGAAGAAACCATTTTCTGTTTGTAACACATCTTAAGTGACCATATTATTTTGCAACAGAATAAATACAATTTTCATTGTGGGGATTGAATAAACATGAAAGGACTAAATCAGTTTCCAGAATATCTAAACACGAGAGACTCAGAAATATTTGCACATGATAATCTGATTTAAATCCCATAAGCCAAGAGGTTCTACCAGATGTGTTGCAAAAAACGATGGCTTGAAAAAAATGGTGTAATGATTTTTGACATGTCCCCTGTGTGCATGTGATCCATCTTTGAAGTGGTACAGGAAGTAACCTGACTGCTGTGGTGTTATGAAATGTTATACCAGCCTGCTACCAGCACAGGCCACGTGAGGGATACTTCCTACAGCAGGGACAAACTTATAGGAAATATGCCTCTCTATAGCAGATCAAAGGTCACTTTAAATCAGTACCAGCAACTTGTGTTATACTAATCAAAACTTTGATCAATTGGAATTTTTGGTTTTGCAAAGGAATAATTTCTTTCGGAAAAGCCTGGAGAAAATGAATTGGGTTGAGGTATTGCAACATGCTGGTTGAAAAAGAATGTGTTTAAGACTTCCCTAGAAAAATTCTAAATGTATCATCATGGCCATTATACATGTTAAACTTTACTATAAAACAGTAGAACCTGCGAAGATCCGGGGTAGCTTAGGTCTTCAGCTACCCATGCTTGCCGTAAGGGGATCGGCTAATCTGGCTCGCTGACTTGGTTGGTGCATGTCATCGTATTCCAATTACGTTGATTGATGTTCATGATGTCAATCACTGGATTGTCTGGTCCAGACTCTATTATTACAGGCTGCTGCCATTCCGCTGGAATATTGCTTAGTGCGATGTTAAACACCAAACAAACAAATATAAAACAGTAGTCGTATTGCATCTTCTTACAAAGTAGACTTCACAAGGATTGTGTGGAAGATAGCAGTTAAATTCATTCTAGGTTGTCACTTAAAAAATTCTTTTAAACATCTATTCACATGGTAAGGAGAATAAGCAGTGGTAAGAATTTTCCGTGGCATTCCGCATATTTCGTATTACGTCACTTTTGTAATACACACTGGTGTGATATACACATAAATCACATAGTCCCCCAGACTCACAGTTTACTTTCAGTGGGTTTTTTTCAAACCGTGTTCGTCCAGGATTAAGCTTGAAGGTTAAGGATTAAAACTTTTTGGTACACTGTCACAGTTTGTATGAATGAAGTTTGTGATACAGAAGGCTGTGTGGTTAACAAGACAACATGCACACAAATATATTTTGGTTTTCACCAGTGTATATGGAAATACATGTCAAAATGTATAGCAAAACACTTTGTGTCAGCATTTCAAGTGTGGCCCAGTTGTCTAAGGCACCGCAATTCACTGTGCAGAGTTGTGTCCCTTGAGCACATCAGAAACTTGTGATTGTGGGTTTGAATTCCATTTCGCTCCCATTATGTTTCTAGGTTTGTCAGCACCATACCCGTGCTCGTGGGTTTCACCGAAGTGGTAAACGTCTCAGACCTGCATCACTTCGGGCTTTTCTCCCATGTTAATCTGACACGCAGTGATATAACTGGAATACTGTTCAAAGCGGCATTAAACCCAACTCACTCACTCACTCACTACCGAGGTCATCTTCTTCCTTTAACTCCAGACACCAAAGTGACTTCACAACAATGTTGTAATCTGTTACAAGTATAATTACCTTTCTGGGACTCATGTACTATTTTCGACACATTTGTAAACACCGGTTGTAATACATGGGGACTCCTTGTCTTCAAAGCTAAAGGTATGTAGTTTTCACATGTTTCTGGTCAGTGTGTAGGCTAAAACAAATAGATTGACCAGGTCACTAAGAGACGGATGAAGGCCAGAAAATAGCCACAGGTATTTGTTTGTTTCCGCATTGCTTTGTTTTTCTTCCTCGCAAAATGTTAGCTTGGCTACAAGTGAAAGATGTTCTTTCAAACTGTATGTATAGTATATTCGCATTTTATGTTACTTTTGAATATTGTATTTGTTTTCAGATTTAATATTGACCTTTGAGCAATCGGTTGAGGGAGATATCTAATGTACTTCTGTTAACACTTCCAGTTCTTTGTATTTATTTAACAGTTTGGAGATTTGGTATGTTTTCTAACTTAAACATGTTTAATGATTAACTATTCTGTGTGATATTAATTCTGGTTAATTCAATCTTGATGAACATGTTTATTGAAATATTTTGCTTCATGTCACAAATTCATTTCTTGCTGAAAAATGTCATATTGTTTTTACAGTGTATTGAATCTCTGTACTGTTTTTGTTGATACCCAGGACCCATTTGCCACCATACCTCTGTTTTCAATAGACGTCCATTTATCTTACCCTGTCCTTTCATGATTGATCAAGTTGCAAACTACCAGTACTCGCCTCGACTTGTGCGTGGTGTGTCACTACAACTGTGACATCTTATAGCATCAGGACTGCCCTCCCCAGTCTTAGTCCTCAGGGGCGGTCGGGTAGCCTAGTGGTTAAAACGTTCGCTCGTCACGCCGAAGACCCGGGTTCGATTCCCGACATGGGTACAATGTGTGAAGCCCATTTCTGGTGTCCCCCGCCGTGATATTGCTGGAATATTGCTAAAAGCGGCGTAAAACCATACTCACTCACTCTTAGTCCTCAGGAAAACATCTTTCCCAGCTTATACGAGTTTATCGTAGTTTATAAATAACAGTCTTGTGATATGTGAAATATATCTCAGGCGCACTATGCTTGTCGTAAGAGGCGACTAACAGGATCAGATGGTCAGACTCGCTGACTTGGTTGATGCATGTCATCATATCCCAATTGCGTGAATCGATGCTCATGTCAATCACTGGATTGTCTGGTCCAGACTCGATTATTTACAGACCACCGTCATATAGATGGAATATAGTGCGGCTTTAAACAACAAACAAACATACAAACAAACAAATCACCTGAGAAGGCTGCAATTTTGAAGTAGATGCCGAACTCTTGTCCAACACAGCATTTGGAATGGCTGTGGTTTCAGGCTCATGAGCGAGAGAGATTCTGTGCTAAGTTAGTGATGAGAGAGTAGGTGCTGAAACTTCCCATGCAACGAAGCTATGGTGGCGAATGAGTCCAGGGTGCACGTCACAACAGGATGTCCTTATGAAAACTATATCCCCACTGATGTTCAGGTTGTACAGTGTTAGAAAGTCATGTATCTTGTCAAGATCAGCAGTCCTCTAATTCCCTTGGGTATTTATACTTCCATAAGTATGATCCTAGTAACCATGGTAATATAAGGTTCTTTATTTTTTTTAAAATACCTGGAATTTTTAAATTACTTTCATGAAGTTCCCAATTTTCATTTTTCACAGTTGTATATAAATTGCCAGTAAATTAAGCAGGAAAGTTAAGGAGCCTTACCATAACCCTAATGTTACATTTTAGATATTGTGGGGGTCCCTGCCTGTCACTGAAGTGGTAAACATCTGAGACCTGCAACACTTTGTGCTTTCCTCCCACATTTAGCTGACATGCGGCGATATGACTGGAATACTGTTAAAAGCGACGTTAAACCTAACTTAATCATCCTGCATGAATTGAATTGTTGTCACCTTTGCTGTATAGCAGGAGACCCGTGAAGATCCGGGGTAGAATAGGTCTTCAGCAATCCATACTTGCCGTAAAAGGCGACTATGCTTGTCGTAAAAGGCGACTAACGGGATCGGGTGGTCAGGCTCGCTGACTTGGTTGATACATGTCATCGATACCAATTGCTTAGATCGATCCTCATGATGTCAATCACTGGATTGTCGGGTCCAGACTGGATTATTTTACAGACCACCATCATATAGTTGGAATATCGCTGAGTGCGGCGTTAAACAAACAAACAAACAATCAAACGGGAACATCACTATGTTGCTATCAATGTCTGTGAACAATAAACAAGCAATGAGTTGAAGTGACCAGGATTGAATGAATTAATCCTGTATCTGACATATTTTAGCCGATTTTGGATTCAAGTTTCATTTTATGTTTATGTAATGTACCACCAACCTCAAGAAACTGAATGGACTCTCCATGTTTTGCAGGTAATACAAACCGAGGAGGTGGAAGTGGACCTGGCCCAGGAGGGGGTGGAGGAGGTAGCAGTGGTGGAGATGCAGGAGGAGGTGGTGGGCCACCTGTAGGGGGTCTCGGCGGCTTGTTCGCAGGAGGAGTACCTCGACTACCTAATAGGGGCAGAAGTGGAGCACCCAATAGAAGTGAGTCACTGTGGTTTAGTTATATACTGTAATTATATCTTTAGCATTTGTCATTGTGACAAGGCAGTATGTTGTGGTAAAGGATGTAGTGTTATTATTATCAATGCTATAAAATTGTATACACAAGTGGTGAGTGTGTATTCCCTAGAGGAGTTTGTGTAATCACCAGTGGTAACTGTGTACTCTCAAGTTGATTGTGTTTTCAGTTCTTCAGTGGTTAGTGTGTATATATTCCCCATTGGATCGTGTATATTCCCTAGTGTTTAGTATATTTATTCCCCAGTGGCAGTATGCATGTTGTACCAGTGATGTGTATTCCCCAGTGGACAGTAGCATGATGTACTAGTGATGTGTATTCCCAAGTGGACAGTATGCATGATGTACTAGTGATGTGTATTCCCAAGTGGCAGTATGCATGATGTACTAGTGATGTGTATTCCCCAGTGGACAGTATGCATGATGTACTAGTGATGTGTACTCCCCAGTGACAGTATGCATGATATTCTAGTGATGTGTACTCCCCAGTGGACAGTATGCATGATGTACTAGTGATGTGTATTCCCCAGCGACAGTATGCATGATATACTAGTGATGTGTACTCCCCAGTGACAGTAAGTATGCATGATGTACTAGTGATGTGTATTCCCCAGTGGACAGTATGCATGATGTACTATTGATGTGTATTCCCCAGTGGACAGTATGCATGATGTACTATTGATGTGTATTCCCCAGTGGACAGTATGTGTGATGTACTAGTTATGTGTATTCCCCAGTGACAGTATGCATGATGATGTACTAGTGATGTGTACTCCCCAGTGACAATAAGTATGCATGATGTACTAGTGATGTTTATTCCCCAGTGGACAGTATGCATGATGTACTAGTAATGTGTACTCCCCAGTGGACAGTATGCATGATGTACTAGTGATGTGTACTCCCCAGTGACAGTAAGTATGCATGATGTACTAGTGATGTGTATTCCCCAGTGGACATTATGCATGATGTACCAGTGATGTGTATTCCCCAGTGGACAGTATGCATGATGTACTAGTGATGTGTACTCCCTAGTGACAGTAAGTATGCATGTTGACTAGTGATGTGTATTCCCCAGTGGACATTATGCATGATGTACCAGTGATGTGTATTCCCCAGTGGACAGTATGCATGATGTACTAGTGATGTGTATTCCCCAGTGGACATTATGCATGATGTACTAGTGATGTGTACTCCCCAGTGACAGTAAGTATGCATGATGTACTAGTGATGTGTATTCCCCAGTGGACAGTATGCATGATGTACTAGTGATGTTTATTCCCCAGTGGACAGTAAGCATGATGTACCAGTGATGTGTATTCCCCAGTGGACAGTATGCATGATGTACTAGTGATGTTTATTCCCCAGTGGACAGTATGCATGATGTACTATTGATGTGTATTCCCCAGTGGACAGTATGCATGATGTACTAGTGATGTTTATTCCCCAGTGGACAGTATGCATGATGTACTAGTAATGTTTATTCCCCAGTGGACAGTATGCATGATGTACTAGTGATGTGTACTCCCCAGTGGACAGTAAGCATGATATACTAGTGATGTGTACTAGTAGTTGTCGTAGTTGTTTGCATTTCTATTGAGTATTTTACATTATGCCAACAGATAATCTACCTCTCACACGCAATGTTTCTGTTTCCAGCGCCTGGTCCGGCAGCTCCAGTTCTCCGTCCCCCTGGCCCCAGGCCACCGATGACCAATGGTCCATCTCGGCTCAGTAACGGAACAAGTGGAGGTCCCCCACCACCTCCGCCACAAAATAAGAAATTTTCAATCCCACATACCACAGAGTCTTCTAGCCGGCCTACTCACCCAGTGCACAACAGTACTAACGGGGTAGGCCCAGGGGTCCCAATGAGGCAGCAACCCCGGAGCCAACCTCCCCCTCCCCCTGCACGACCAGCATCGGGGAGCATATCAGGCAGACCCAGTAGCATGGTCGGAAGACCTCTACCACCCCCTCCTCCCCCACATCAGAGTCAACCCCCACCACCCCCCACCCGCTCTAATCCTCCCCCACCCCCTAGCCGACCTGCAGCCCCTCCCCCACCAGCTAGGACTACATCTAATCAGAGTGGGGGTACTATAGGACGATCTTACGGGCCTCCGGCGGCACGCCCCCCTCCCCCTCCGAGGAAGGATGTACCCCCACCCCCTCCCCCTCATGCACCTAGTGCCCCCAGCAGAGGCCCCCCTACTGCTCCAGTGTCAAACCCTCCGCCCTTGAGGAGGCCCAGTTCTTCAAGCTCTTACGGATCAGGCGGTGATGGTAGGTGTTAAGGGTGTGCGGTATTATCGGTATATCAGTAAATTGAGGTTAATTTTTTTCCAAGATATATATCACAATATCATTTTTTCGTGCTCGATATGTCAGATGATTTCAAATAGCGATTTTTATTATGTTTAATGTTATATAGTTATCAAATGCCTTCACTGCCCTGGAGCATGCATCCAGGGCCCCAAGATGGCTGTGTATTTATTGACTGAGAAAACATTATGTTGTACCAGCATTTTGTTTTGTTCCATTCATGAACTACAATTTATACCTTAATTTATCAGATTGCTTCTGAATTCAAAATTTAGAATTATACAATATATCGTGATATGTATCGCAATACGGTCTTGTGCCTCGCAAAATATTGTGATACACTTTAAACCTCCAATACCCATCCCTTGTGAGTGTTGTGGGTCCTTGTGCAGAGTTGCATCCCTTTGTCATGCCAGGATCCACAGATGATGTTACCAATACCAGGTTTGTGCTGATGATTAAGCTTTGTCTGCACATACCTGTGCATGTGGACTTCCCCAGAGTGATAGTCTACAACCTGTGTTGCTCTGGTCTTTCTTCCCACATTGACATGATAAGGCTGTGATATAGCCTAAATACTGTTAGGAGCAGTGTAAAACTGAACTCACTCACTCAAAGCCACGGGAGTTCCTGGTTGAAATGTTCACCAGTAAGTACCCCATGCTTGTTGTAAGGGTGGACTTAAAGGTATTACCTTGCTGTGATAAAGCTGGAATATTACTGACTGTGGTTAAAACAACATGCACTCACCTAGTTGCTGTACAGCATGGGGTGGGGGCATGGGTGGCCCAGTCGTCTAAGGCGCCCTGATTCGCCATGCAGAGTTGCGTCCCTTGGGAACACCAGAAACCTATGATTGTGGGTTTCAAATCCCAGTTCGCCCCGATTATGTTTCTAGGTTTGTCAGCACCATACCCGTGCCCGTGGGTTTCACCGAACAAGTAAGCAAGGATGACAACCTACAGATAGATCATAGTTTTTAATCTTGTTATTATTTGCTCATGAAGATTGGGGTTAGAAATGGCCTTCAGCAACCCATGCTTGTCGGAAGAGGCGACTAACATGATCAGGTGGTCAGGCTCACTGGCTTGGTTGATGCATGTCATCATTTCCCAGCTGCGTAGATCGACACTCATGTCAATCACTTGACTGTTGGTCCAAACTCGATTATTGCAAACTGCGGTCATAAAGCTTGAAACTTGTTGAGTGTGAGGTTAAACAACAAACAAACAAGTCTTGCTATTAGATAAAGTGCTACTGCATGCTGCATTGAAGCCTGTGTACTACTTGTATGCTCAGAACAAGATGCAGCTTTAGAAGTCTGGATTATTGAATACTAAAAACTTTTGATGGTCTAAAAACGAGACCTAGGGAATGTCTCTTCTGTTTTGGGACAGAACTGTTGATGTGAAACTATTTTGATTTCTTTTTCAGATTTTGAGAAGAATTTCCGATTCCATAGTGTAAATGAGCTGCCTCCGCCAGAGCCCTTTTCAAATAGTAATAAAACATACCCCAGTAGAAATCCCCGAGGTAGTGATGGTGAGTACAGTGGGAGGTTGACCTTGACCTTCAAAAGTCAGGGCCCAGAGGACCCCCAATAATTAATTTTAAGGGTCCTTGCAGACAATATGTGGGTCCTGTAAAGTAATGAAATGGTTTAGTGACTGTACTTTTAGATAGTTTCTTCAAAGCCTGGAATGTGGACTGTGATCATGATTGATAGATGACACCAGACACCCATAACTGCTCTTGATGCGCTCCAGGTTCCTGGAATATTATTGTGTGTTCCTCTGGACGCAGTATATATTTTTTTCTGCGTCACTGGTACAGAGCCATAGATCAACTGCATTTTTGCATAAAATTCGAATATTATGTCTCCCTTACTCAATTAATTTTGTGTTGCTTGTGTTCAAATATCCATGAAATATTTCAAATTAATGTTATTGTTAAGGCTAAAATAAAATAATAGTCCTCGTTGTCAGGCACTGCCTGCATCGTCATAAAGTCTGCCACGCGTTTCGTTTTTATTTCCATTTAAAATATATAAAAAATAATACTAATACTTAAAAACAATGAGATTCACTATTGTACGCAGTTACTTCCCTTTAGATGTGCACTGCTTTACTGCGCATCTCGTGTTATGGTCATGGCGGCAATAGGAGTTTCTATGCTTGTTTATGTAGGGAGGCCCTTTCCCAGGCTGATGGAACACAACTGTTTATTTGGTTACTTACTAGTTTAAACAAGCAAAAAAAGCACCACCTGACCACACTATATTTTCAAAAGTCATTGTCAATTCTTTTATTGTTTTTAAGCCTAATTAGGCATGTATATCTCTGTTGTGAGTTTATAGGACATGTAACACACTGGGGGGCAGCACACAAAGACAAATTAGAAGTTGCCGGAAACAGCATTTGAAGCAGAATTATTGAAAAAAATATCTGTTCGTTGGTCTTAAATACTCAATGGACTGGGCCCAGGGCAGTAAAATATATTGAACACTCAAAGAAAACTCAATAATCAATACCCAATGTGAGTAAATACTCAAAGGCTAAAACATCATCTGGAGCCCAGTGTGCGATGGTGGGCATGCTGGTTCGGAAGTGGTCCCAAACCTATGCTGGTCGTTAGAGGCAACACAATAGACTTTGGGGATCAGGCTCGTGGTTGATAGGGTGTCAGCGCACGCCATCAATGTTGATCGTTGCTCTGAATATGAATCACTGGATTGTCTGGTCCAGACTTGATGATTTACAGGATGCCAACACATAGCTGGAATATTGCTAAGTGCAGCATTAAACAACAAACACAAAAACACACATGCAATGCTGACTCTGGAATAATGAAATGTGGAAAAATTAAGAATCTGAAAAGCCTTGGTGCTTTTTAGTTATGGTGCAATTAGCAAACTTGAGTGTTCAGCACAAACAATCAACAAATATGCTGATCAGGGCTCTTGAATATTTTGGGAGATATTTTTATGAAATTATAACCTCATTCTTCACTTAAAAAAGGATTGTTGTACTGAATGCAAATTAAAATACATCAGAATTTAGGAGAGTAAGATCTTAATACAATATAATTATTTTTTTATTTTTCTGTCATAAACGTTTGGTTTAGAATCCTAGATGAATCTCTGCTATCACCTATGTGTAATATTTCTGTGAGTTTAAAGGGGCGGTCGGGTAGCCTAGTGGTTAAAGCGTTCGCTCGTCACGCCGAAGACCCGGGTTCGATTCCCGACATGGGTACAATGTGTGAAGCCCATTTCTGGTGTCCCCCGCTGTGATTTTGCTGGAATATTGCTAAAAGCGGCGTAAAACCAAACTCACTCACTCACTCACTCACTGTGAGTTTAAGGAATGACTTGTTACCTTCCTATCCCGGGATGTATAATTAATCTTATGGCCTCGTCTTGTTGCAGGAAGTCAAAGAAGAGCACCTCCACCTCCTCCCCCGCGGTGAAAACAGACCTGGTTGACATAGGAGAAACATAGAAGTCGTATACTATTGCTGTGCAATTGTGATCCTGTTGTATAAAGAAGACTTTGGGAAGCCATCTTGGATCACATCTGCCTCGAGATAATCTATGTGCTCATCGCGACCCCTTATCCAGGATCGGTTGATTCTTCTGGGACATTGGTTTCATTTCTTTTTAGGAAGATTTTGTTTTTCTTTCATATACAATTTGCAACATTGACCATGTATGAATAATCGATAAATGTGTCAACGCTGTCATCGTGGAGGTGGATCAGTGGAGCGTGTCGTCAATGTCAGTGATTGACACCTGCCATGTTTATATCAAAACAGGACTACGGCATTCAGTAATGTTTCCAGGAAACAGATATGGTGCTGAGTAACGAAGCACAATACGTATGTCAATATTTCTGTCTGGACACTGGACGCTAGTTCGCTATTGACGTGTATATAGGTGGCGCTCCGCTGGACGTGTATATAACACAACCAACACAGTCATTCATCTCTGCTTGTAGCTTCGATGTTGGAGTGAGATTGTGAGGTGATTGTATTCGCATGTATCCTGTGTTTGGACCTATACATTGCATCTGTTTAATTATTTGCATTATTCCAAATACTGCTGATGTTACGTTCTGTTTGCATGTGTAGCTTGTATTCAAAAATTTTAATTCCAACATTTTGTGCTTATTTGATAGAATGTGCGTTTGTGTAAGCTGTTAAAATATATTACTCTGTTTCGTACATGCATTACCGCTAATTTTTATAATGAATCTGATATGACAAAATTATTCACTTATAAAGTTAATGAGGGATAATATATATAATTCTAGGTGAGAACTATCTCAAAGTATTCAATTTCCCACTATGCAAAATATGAATAACCCTTTTCTACTTCTTATAGCTACTCAGATGTAACAGTGTAACAATGTCACCTTCTAGCTTTATACCAAGGCACAGGACTAAGGCCCTTCCATATTCGATGTAGATACATAGGGCAAACTGATGGTGCAGAATCATTCCATTCCATGTATTTAGTGGTATTCATTTGCATGATTACATGTATTTATCTCCCTTTGGTGTTCCTATAGATCTGAGGCTTTTGTGTCAGTTATGTCCCTTGACGAGGAAGACTGGATGTCAACATGCATTTATATATACTTTTTTTAAATCGCTTGTTAACATCTGTAGAAAGTAATGTGTTTTATTTGAAATTGATCATTCTCTTAGCATCGCCATCTTGAGATCGCACATGCTCTGGTGTGTTTTGATGAAGGTTTGACCTCAAGGGGAGGTAACTGACACATGGGACAGGATTTAACACCAGCACTGTATTCTATTGGTGAAGGAAAGAGAATTGCTCAAACTGAGACTTTACTGTGAGTTCAAGCCAATGCAAGAATGCCCATATTTGTTTGAAATTTGCTAAAGATGATGACAGGAATAGATGCAGTACTTTGCTCCTGACATACATGGATTAGATACGCTAGAAATACTTCAGTATTTCAGTGTCAGTGACTTGCATGTTCCCTGTGGCGTGGGCAGCGCATACTTCACTGTATGGAGTTATCTCCCTTAGCTGTGCCAGTATCTGCTAGTCATGGGTTTGAATGCTACATTTGCACTGATTATGGTATTTGGTGTGTCAGCAGAAGAATTGTGCTTGTTAGCGTCAGTGATGAGTGTCCATGACAAGTGGCCCTCTCGGCTTTCTGAGGGCACCCTCAGTAACAGAAATACTGTACAGTGACTATTTACCTGTCAGTTCTGTATAATTCCATATTGGCTAATCCTTAACTTGCATTCATATTCCCAAATGAATTAGGCATGCCAGAAAGCTATGATCTGGGCCTCAAGGCTCGTCAGCACCATATTCATACTCGTGGGTTTCACCAAAGTGGTAAACGTCCGAGACCTGCATCACTTTGTGCTGTCCTCCCAAATCGAGATAACTTGCCATGTTATAAGCAGTGGCGTATCCAGAGGGGTTGCACGCCACCCCTTTTTAATACACCTTGCATGTTAACTGTGCCCTTGGCTGAAAGTAATTAAAAAATTATTCCTGGCGGACTCCTGTTACGGAGATACAACCATTACAGAACAATATGTATTGAAGATACCAGCTGAAACAGTGGTTTAGACATTTGTAAAAATAGATATATGTTGATATATTATGTGTATTATATCAATGACAGGACCATCTGTGATGGGTATTCTTGTATTGGCAGAATGGCATCCAAGGGATGAGGGATGTTACATGTAGCATGGCTTCACATCAGACCTGGGACTGAAGGGTGGGCCGAATTATAGACAGAGGACTTGATATTTCGGGATGTCCTCTGGTCTGAATTCAGAGTATTTTACTTGTTCTAAGATAGGTATTTTTCAAAACTAGACAAATTTATTCAACTTTCCAGTTAGAAAAAGGAGAAGGTCAATGTACATTCTGTTGAGCTTAGTACAGTGAATAACTGGTCTTTACTGTGAAAACTAGAAAGTAGGGCTGGGACGAGTCTGAATTTATTACCCTGGTACCCACCCCCATATTACCTGACCCTACCCTACCCGGGTACCCACTGTAGGTCTCAAGAGAGAGGTACAAAATGTCCGATTGGGCATTTTGTTACCATAGCACTGGCAAAACGTATTTAGATACATGTATTAAACAATCTGGTCATGTATACACTGAAGTTGACTCAAGTTGTATCTTTATTCAAAGATATGAAAAGTCAGAAGGAATGCGAACATTTGTGACTTGTAGTGTAACCATAGAGTTCTAGATACTTTTTTTTGTCATTAAACAATATATCACGTAACTAACCACGGGTCCAGGTAGTCCTGTGGGTACCCGGGCCCTACTCAGTACCCACCCGACCCAAGTACCTGAGTTACCTGTCCCAGCCCTACTAGAAAGTCACTGTCTTTAGAGATTTACTTAAGGTGTTTTTGATAGTATTTAAAACATTATTTAGATATTTTAAGCACATATGGATGAAACGTTCAGCTGTAAGAAAACATAATTTCTATGTTAGTCTTCTTGTTCTTTGTAGCATGTGGATAAAAATTGCATTTAAGTATCTCCCTCAATTTCTACAGCGACATTCAATTGATGATGTACAGCGTTATGACTATATACATGAGGTTATAATGCAGTGATGTCATAGTTTAATGAACAGTGCAGTGCTAAACTGATTCACTGTTGCCATAACAACATGGATGTTTCAGGGGCTAGATAAGTGTTTCATGGGCTAGGTGGATGTTTCAGGGGCTAGGTGGATGTTTCAGGGGCTAGGTGGATGTTTCAGGGACTAGGTGGATGTTTCAGGGACTAGGTGGATGTTTAAGGGGCTAGGTGGATGTTTCAGGGACTAGGTGGATGTTTAAGGGGCTAGGTGGATGTTTCAGGGGCTAGGTGGATGTTTCAGGGGCTAGGTAAGTGTTTCAGGGACTAGGTCAATGTTTTGGGAGCTAGGTGGATGTTTCAGGGGCTAGGTGGATGTATTGGGGGCTTGGTGGATGTTTCAGGGACTAGGTGGATGTTTCAGGGACTAGATGTATGTTTCAGGGGCTAGGTGGATGTTTCAGGGGCAAGGTGGATGTTTCAGGGGCGAGGTAAGTGTTTCAGGGGCGAGGTAAGTGTTTCAGGGACTAGGTGGATGTTTCAGGAGCTAGTGTGAAGCTGTGTGTACAGAGAGTGGTTCAACAGAGATCAGACTTCCAGGGCTCACTGTATGTAGTGGATATAGTAGTTATTCCACACTGTGTATAACCATTATACAAGGCAACATGACATATCTTTTATATTGTACAGATTGGGTGGCACTCGACTGCCACTGTTGATTTTAATAGACCCAACACAGGTTGACTATGTTACAGATGACGATAAGGGAAACTGTAGTCACCTAATAAGCACTGGCTTGCAATATTATTGAGATTTAAGGTCCCACTTGACACTATGTTCAACATTATACAAGGGAGTTTGATGAAACTGCACATGTCTAAATATAAATATGTCTGTATTATTAAGATGATCTTTCACAAGTCTGAACGTTTGCCCCAGTGTCTTTTGTATTATAATCACCCTCTTTGCATTATAAATATCAGTAGAATGCCTGTGTGCTTACAGGGGAGAACTATGGTGTATGTGGTTCAGGATGCGTCTGGAAAGGGGAATTCGGGGCTGATAGTTTACAGTGACTGGATCAACATTTATCTTTCAGTGTTTGAGAATCCAACCATCGTTAATGAAAGCAAAATATATTATTCTTAATCAATGTTCTAGTTGCTACTAGCTGCAGGATTGCTTATTCGGTTTTAAGCCGAATTTACTCACTAATTTGAATGTTCATGGACATGTAGGCTCCTATGTAGACATGTTAGCCATTGTTTAGATAAGATTATCTTTCTGAATACATTATTTGCAGTACTTAAGAGAATAATCATTATTATAAATCACTAAATTTAAGATGAAAAGGAACAGCTTCTGCTTTGTTGCTTCCCTTAGATGTAACAGGATCTCCTGTGTGATTGAATCCCAGATTCAGACAGTCTATCATCACCTTATCCTGTGGAGTTCTTGAAAGTGTAAATGTTGAAGACCTGCATCACTTTGGGCTTCCCAACCACATTAATCTGTGGCCTGACTGATATACTCTTTACCTGGAGTCTTGACCCGGACCTATTGCAGATATTATTAGTTTTAACTCACCAGTCCTGTCTGTTTCCAGATGGATCTTGAATACCAATCTTACATTCTGTAGCTCTCCTAGATAAAACTGATCATATCACCCGGGAATTATTGTGTGTTATTTATAACTGATCATAATATACACGTAGTGATGCAGTTTGGCTGTCTCACAGTATGGATTAGGGGCGGTCGGGTAGCCTAGTGGTTAAAGTGTTCGCTCGTCACGCCGAAGACCAAGGTTCAATTCCCGACAAGGGTACAATGTGTGAAGCCCATTTCTGGTGTCCCCTGCGGTGATATTGCTGGAATATGCTAAAAGCGGCGTAAAACCATACTCACTCACTCACTCACAGTATGGCTTGGGAGAGACTGAATATGGTTGGTGTTTGTCTGGGAAGTTTTAGAATATCCGATCCAGTTCTTGTTTGTTTGCATGCGATATAGCAACAAAAGTCCCCATGGTATTGTAAGCATAAACAGAGGTATCTTCACCGACTCTCCTCATCTCCTTGTCAGGGTCTCAGTATGTTTGTTTGTTTATTGTTTAACACCACACTCCGAAATATTCCAGCTTTGCGATGTTGGTCTGTAAGTAATCGAGTCTGGACCGGTCAATTCAATGAGCAATATCGGAGCCACAATCTATGCCGCTGGCCAAGTCACCGAGTCTTACTACCTGCATTTAGTCCTCTCTTACAGCGAGGAGATGGTCCTAGGTGCAACAAAGATTTCCCACTGTCCAATCAAAACTAATCATGTCGAGGACCATTTTCAACGGATGGATGGTTGCTCACAATATTGATCACAGGATTGTGTGGTCTTGATTATTTACAGGCTGCAATGATACGGCTGGAATATTGCTGAGAGCAGCATTAAACAACAAACAAACAAAATGATGAGTCTCAATTTGTCATGTATATTGTACCGAGACCTTACTTACAAGAAACAAATTGTATCACGACAATTGTATGTAATTATGGCCTTAATTAAGACAAACAATGTTCGTCACAGCAATGAGATGGTACACAGGCTTGGGTTGTATAGGGCAGGCTTGAGGAGTTTGTGATGACTTGGGCTTGATCAATCACACGATGAATAAGACACGTCAGAACCAAACTGAAGACATCTGGCTCAGTCAGGGTAGGGTGTCATTCCTCTTGAAGGCATTAAAAACTGGTCTCAGGAATTGTTTTGTGTTGAAGGTTTCTAGGGTGTGCCAGCTAAGTTAGAGATTTTTTTAAGCCACACTGTTTCTAGAAATATGGGTGCAGTGTACCTGATTTACCATGACTTTGTTGAGATATTTTACTGATTTGCTATCCCTTTTCACCCTCATATAGCAATGCTTATCAGTGGAATCGGAAAGTTAGTATGGAAATCAGTGATGTTTTCTGTTTTTGTAGTAAACTTTAGGAGACCAAAACAAATCTTTATCTTTCTGAGTGAGAGTTAAGACAACAACGTCTCGATGCTTCTTTTAATGTGATTAATCACTGTGCCTTTCACTATTGCTGGTGTAAGTGTGAATGTTGGTAGTGTATATTTTAGCCTGTCAGGTAAGACTACACGTATGAGATTCAGCAGTCAAAATCTAATGTATTTCAAGTCCATAGTTCACAAGGGGGCACGGGTGGCCCAGTCGTCTAAGGCGCCGCGATTAGCTGTGCAGAGTTGCGTCCCTTGGGCACGCCAGAAACCTATGATTGTGGGTTCGAATCCCGGTTCGCCCCGATTATGTTTCTAGGTTTGTCAGCACCATACCCGTGCCCGTGGGTTTCACCGAAGTGGTAAACGTCTGAGACCTGCATCACTTGGGGCTTTCCTCCCACATTAAGCTGACACGCCGTGATATAACTGGAATACTGTTAAAAGCGGTGTTAAACCCAACTCACTCACTCACTCACCATAGTTCACAGAACAAATCCTAACACACGGATCAGGCCAACCATTGTGGGGTTTGTGGTTTGACCCGTTTTGATTTTTGTTCCTGTGAGACTTTCAAGAACAAATGTGAAGGACGTTTGAGTGTAACGATTGCCAAAATGTGTTGCTTTCAAAGCTTCTTGTGTTTATATATTTGTAATTGTTTATTTCCAATTGTTTATTTGCAATTACTGACATGCGAGTTTGATGAATTAGGGATACTATTTGATGTAATATGTTTGAGTGCAAATTAGACCATGAGAAATTGGACATTGATGCTGATATTTCCCCACAAACACTTCACTGGCATAATACTGCTACTGTTCTGTTTCAAGGGTTAGATTGTTTATAGAGCCAGAAAAGTTTTTTTGCCTCTTTTCAAATGAGCTCGCTCTTTATTTTTAGCCAAACTAAAACAAATGTGAACAAGCTGTTTGGTTTAAATTAATAATTTTAAACAGCTGTCTGTTAGTTATTTTTTAAACCTTTCTAATGGTGCTTAGGATATTAAAACAACCCTGACAACATGTTTGGACTAATATACTTTGTGTGTGTTTCATTTTGCCTGGGAAAATTTGTAAAACAAGAATGAAGTCAGCCTGGCCTAGTTTACAAAATATGTTTCAGAGAGTTGTCACAATTTAATTTGCGGTCAAATCCATAGGGATTCCTGGTTAGAGAATGTCCCCAGTAATCTCTGCTGGTCATAAGAGGCACACCAATGGTGGTCAGGCTCAGTGACTGCATGTCATTGTACTCACAATGTCGATCACTGGATTGTCTGGTCCTCGGGTTATTTACAGGCTGGGTCAATGCTCAGTGTGATATTAAACTAGTAAACCAACAGTTCTGCCCGTGAGTGCATGTTTCTATTTGCCGGGTAGTTTCCCTTGCGTTCATGGTGTGCATTTACCCTTAGAATAATAACAGTAGCTTCAGATAGAGTAGAAGGAAAACGTCAAGCTTGGTTGGGAAGGTGTTGTGGTCTTGCTGATATTTGCATTTGGATCGATTTGTTTTGAACTTCCTGATATTATCATGTACATGAACCATCCTTTGCTCTCATAGATTTTTAATGTGAATGAAGTGTGATGGGCTGGTCCCAAGTTTAAATTTGGATTAATTGGTTTATAAGTAATGTGGGGTGATTTTTAAGCCTATTATTTAGCCCATGTGGAGTTAGCTCATTTAAGGTGGTGTCTGTTTTGCTTGTGATTGAGTACCTGGTACTTATGATCGGACCAGGTCTTTGAAAAAAGAATTTTCATAACCATCGTAAGAAATGTCTTGTGGTTGGGGAGTACACGGTTTGTATAATCAACCAAGGATTGTATAATTAAACAATGTATTGGGAAAAACATTTGAATGACAATCATTCTAATATAGAGAAAACTTTGAGTATAGGATTGTTGTTCTTTTGGGAGGCCAGTTTATAGTGATTTTTTAGCGCTTATTATCATGTTTCTGAACATTGCTGTGTGTACATGATTTGCTTCCTGAAGATGTTATAGGAAAATCACCAATACTCTTGCTTTTTCAAAGTGATGCTTAGGTTACATTCCCCATTACAACCTCGACATATTTGGTCAGTTGAAACAAAATGAATTGAAAAAATTATTTCTATGAATTGTCATTAACTCTTAATAGGTCTTGAAATGGATTCATGAAAAAGGCTTTTGACCAACAGTTCTCCTTTTCATAACAAAGGCAAAAGATATCAACATTGAAACTAAAAATCTGTTCCAGTTGGAAGCTAAGTATCCATGCTCCACTTGGTCCAAGGGAGGCAACTCTTAGGGTGCACGATCAGAGTAGCACTTGGATTGTCATTTTGGCTTTGGTTTATAGTTTGGTCTTCTTTATTTATATCCTTATGAAGAAATATTCCATTTACTCGACTATCCAAAAAAACAATGATTTCAATCCCAGGGCATGGCTTAATATTATAACCTTAAGACTCTTGTACAACTAATGTGATGTCACATTTGAATTCATGCAGAGGATGTCGAAGGAAGAAACCTTTACCTACTTCTGTTAGGCTTAAAGAAATAAAGGTATTGGTTCTCAGGCAATAGTTTTTGGGGCAGGCAGTGTCTTATTTATTTTTATTTGGTGGGGAGGGTGTGTGTTGTTGAAACTAGTATGTTTTCAAATAAACAGTTGTGTAACCAAATAAACAATTGTCAATTGTGTACAATCCACCTTGGAAAGGGCCTCCCTACATAAATGTATTCCTTCATCAGTAACATCCAGCATTTGACTACCATTGGACTTGGAATATTTATGTTAAAGTAGAGCAACAGTCAGAACTCGAGATTTATCATGCATGACTGATTTGGAAAAGTACAATGTATTAGTATTACTGCGTAATTACAAAATATTTTTGTCATTGTAAATGTTATGAAATAACAATGACCTAAATGTCAATAAAAGTGTTTTGAAATGTGTTAAATTATCACTCATCCAATATTGTCCAAACGATCAGAAAATTCATGATTTTCATGTTCAGTCTGTAAATTATGTATGAAGTGCAAGTTACCTAGAGCATGTTGTAAGTGGGTGACTGAGATGTCAATGTGCTTGGCTTCTTTTCCGTTGCAATGATTGTTCGGTGCCTGCTCCCTAATTAATTCGTTTTTATGTGCTGCAATGTTTAGGGCAAGCTTAGATAAGGTACGTGTTTGTTAAATACCATAGCAGTTGACAAGCCTGAACCTATTCTAGACCATTTCCATGTTTATATTTTAGTGAATTACATTTTACTTCAACACAGTAGGTTGTATTTACAGTTAGAAATGAGATTCAGTACACATTATCTCAAAATAATCAAATTCTTGATCTTAGTGTCTAATACCTCTTTAAGTAGTTCCATTAATATTTCTTGATCTATCTTTTGAGTAAACGTGTTTCTTTCCTGTCATTACTAATCCCTCCTTCAACAAACACAGCATGTATCTTGTGTATTACGAGTCTTGAGTGTCTGTTCTCTTGTGATTTCAGGGGCAATGTTATATACATGCAAACAAATCTAATTTTTGAATAAACTTTCAAAATGGACATTGTCTTATATTCCCAACCCAAGGGGAGTCATTCTCCTGATCTTTGAAGAGTGCACTCTCAGTACAAAGTTCAGCAGAATGATATCTGTTGACGTTAAGCCGCATGACGGCGGCCTGTACATAATCTAGTCTGAGCCAGACAATCCAGTGATCAATAATTGTGAGCAATGATCCACATCCGGGTGCAAAGACATGCATGAACCAAGTCATCGAGTCTGACTACTTGATCTATTTGCCCCTTACATCCAGCATAGGTTGCTGGGGACCTTGTCTCACCCAGAGTTCCCACGGGGTTCAGCAGAGTGAAATATTGATCACTGTCAGGACTGGAACACTGAATTGAATTTCATGTGGCAAGTAGTGAGTGAGTGAGTTGGGTTTAACACAGCTTTTAACATTATTCCAGTTATAACATGGCGTGTCAGCTTAATGTGGGAGGAAAGCCCGAAGTGATGCAGGTCTCAGACGTTTACCACTTTGATAAAACCCACGAGCACAGTTATGGTGCTGACAAACCTAGAAACATAATCGGGGGGAACCAGGATTCGAACCCCCAATCATGGGTTTCTGGTGTGCCCAAGGGACGCAACTCTGCACAGCGAATCGCGGCGCCTTAGACGACTGGGCCACCCGTGGCCCCCAATCAGGCAATGGGCCCGCCGCCTTCACAAGTCCATAATCAGCCTAATAATAATAATAATAAGTCAACAATCTTCATGCCATAATCAATTCTGGACCAGACAAACCAGCAAAGTTTGGAGCATGACACATTTTGTTGGCTCTTGTGAATGTTTAACGTCACTTTGAACAGTTGCTTGGATCAATGCTCATGATATCAATCAGTGGATTGTCTGGTCCAGACTTGATTATTTACACACTGCCGTCATATTGCTGAGTGTGGCGTAAGACTACAAAACAAAATCAGGGCCAACCAGGATTCAAACCCGCGATCACAGACTTCTTAGACGCATAAATGAACCAGCTCTATGCCGCTCTATACCAGCTCTGTCAGCTCTATGCCGACTATTGGATACAGAATAGTGTGTCTGCACAGAATCCACAATGGCTTGTAGGTGATGGCAAACACATCACCTGGTGCACTACATCATCGTCCTTGCCATCACATACACAAGAAACTCATCTCATCCTTTCCAACAACACAACAAAGTTTCATTCGTTTATTTTTCATTAACTTGTTACAAAGCAAGCACTGCCACTTGACGACATAGTAACAATGTGCGCTAAAATGAATACGATAAAGGTTTGATTGTTGCAGAGGTGTTGGGTTCATTACTGCTTATACCATATCACAAGCTTACACACATATATTTATTGTGAATAAATATTTCATAATTTTTACTCACAAATTTGTTGAATTAAACTTTTAATAGCCTCATAGGTGGTGACACCAGGGCCAGCTTGCACAAAGCGATCTTAGCGCTGAGACTGTTAAAGTATTGGAGTTACGATCATCTTACCGCTAAGATCGCTTTGTGCAAGTGGGCCCTCAAATAGGCTTAACACAAACTCAAATGGGGAATTGAACCCTGGTGACAAAGCCATGAACCGACACCCTCAAATATTATAATAACTGCATGAATAGTTGTTGATAATATCGTGTAATTGTTGAGCACTTCAGTGACCATCTGGAGAGCAATTCCAAAGTGATCCAATATTTTCTTTGAAAGATTGGTTTTACAATTTGACAAACTACAGTAAACTACGGTTATAATGAACTCGAAGGGATCACTAGTTTTAGTTCGTAATTACCGTAGTTCGCTATAAGCATATATACAGCATTTATACAACAAATGGTCGGGACTAAAAAATAAGTTCATTATATCGATCAGTTCGTTATAAGCACGTTCGTTATAAACGTAGTTTACTGTACCACATTTGCCATACTAAGCACCCTGCACGAACATCTGGACCAATCAGTAGTTTTATACGATTGACTAGTAAATATCAAAAAGATTTCAGACTAGAGATGTTTGAATGAAGCTTGTTCCTTACTGTTCCATCTCTGCAACAAAGTTTGATTTCAATAAGCAGTCCCTTTGTCATTTTTCGAAGCATCCAGAGCCCTTATTACAGTGAGAACAGTAAGAAAATCAACACCATTCACATCAGCAAAGTCACTTCAGTATTGCACAAATTAATTCAAACAAACATTTCAAAATCAACTGTAATCAAGCACATTTCAAAATATTCATATTTACATATATACATCTCAAATATCTTAAAATAATTTTACATACCGTATTCGACGTAATAAGCGCCCACGGCGATATTTGCTTATTAATTAATATATCAATACATTGGCCAGTGAACAATCCTAATTAGCACCCCTTCCGATTGATCAATGTACACAAGACTTATTTATTCGCGTATAATACGCACTCATGTGTTATATGCACACTTAATTTTGGGCAATTAAATTCTTGAAAAATATATCTGTCGTACATAAATATTTCAGGCTGTCAGCATAAACCACAGAATTTATCTTTTAACTCGATTCTTTCACTAAAATAATACTCTGATAAGAGCCCCCTATTTCTAATTTTGAGAGCGCCCTGGGCGCTTATTACGCCGAATACGGTATATAACAAAATAATTACATTTTCTTTAACTTAAGTTTTTAATATCTACAACTTTGATCACACATCATTCTAGTGGTAATGATTTTATGTGTGCTTCAAAGAATCGTCAATCCATGAACCTCGGTAAAAACATGCAATTCTTTTGTATAACACACACCTACCAACTGAAATAAAACCAACAAAAAATGTCTGGAATGTCAACAAAATTCTGGAATGTCCATAAAAATGAAGACAACTTTCCTGGTACCAGGAAATATGGATTAACATTTGTGTAAGTAAGGTGGCTTTAATGTCGCTTTTACAGTATTCCAATTATATCACAGCATGTCAGAATAATGTGGGTGGAAAGCCCGAAGTGATGCAGGTCTCCGATGTCTACCACTTTGGTGAAACCCACGAGCACAGGTATGGTGCTGTCAGACATAAAAACATATTCTGGGCAAACCGTGATTCTAACCCACGATCGTAAGTTTCTGGAGTTCCGCTTCATTCCTTGTCCTTACGCTAATGGAAGCACAATCTTTTGTCTGTCAAGGTCCTTTTTGTGCAGTGACATCACAATGGATAAATATCAGAATCCATAGTACGTTCATACATATAAATATTTCAAATTCGTCATTTATAGTGATTAAAGTTAAAGTAAAACAATGGCTACTGAGGTGAAATATGGTTGTAACTTCGCATTCACAATTTGATTGGGTACACTACAACACTTTGGATGGGGATTCAGATGTGAAGATAAAAATAACCTTATCAAAAGTAGAGCAGCATAGTTTAATTTGTAAACCTTGCTAGTACATACGCATAAAACATGGAATTATCCGGTTTGATTGAACAGCCCTGGCAAAATACGTCTGGCCTTACATGCACAATATGTATAAAGTATGTAATAAGTTGTAGGCTTATCATGAGGGGAATATGGTTTATGTACTGTGTGGCCGTGCGCCCTGAGCCGACAGGCAAATTTATCATACTGCAATGCTTGTCATTTATCACAATTTAAAACGAACAGAGATGCAAGTCATTAGTCTTGTCACCATACTGACAAATGAAAACTTTCTGTTCAGGCTCTGTGTCTACAATATTAATTACACTTGGATATCAGAGTTATGATACGCCTACTTCACGTAAAGATACATATTTCCATGCTTGAGGCATAATGTGATACGAAATGTGATACTTAATTTGCGTTGTTTTTGCGCGAAAATCTCCATGTTTTATGTGACAAATGGATATTGCTCTCAACCTGTTTGTATCTGTGCCTGTACTGTGATGTGCGAATTGTTGCTGAACCATCACAGCCCTATTGTTGAATTCATACAGATTATACAAACGTCAAAAGTATCTAGACATTCAACTGATTATTGTCTTTCATGTATATTTTTGTCCATCCAATCAAAAGATGAATCACATGACAGTGTACAAGAAACATGCAGATCTACTGGTCAAATATCGGCACACATTTATCAGATCAGCATTTCTGAAATCAAGGAGGTCCAACTTATCAGTGGGGAAAAAGAAACGCCAGTGTCCTTCTTATGTGGATCTCTGACAGAATGGTAGAATAGTTGTAACAAATGGGTGATAATTTCCTCCAATGTTTTTAAATTATCTGACAAATCTTTTTTGGGGCAAGCTACATTTCTGTATCATTGCTCCGACTGGCTACTTGTAAAAACCTGAAATATTCTAACACACGTATCAAGGTTTACGAGGATACATGTTCTTGATTACATCCATAAACAAAACAATACTGCATATATAATACTCCACTTAACAAAGGAACAAAGGATAGAAGTAATACCAACGAAACTTTTTATGAAAAAGGCAGTTGTCGTCAAGTTGACACTTGAAACCTGTCATTGTCAATGTGAGCACTAAATCAGAATCAAGACTCCATGAACTTTTTGTAGAGGTTGTAGAGTTGGGGCGACCGAATGGAACTGACTGCTTGGTTTGTTTGTTTGTTTGTTTGTTGTTTAACGCCGCACTCAGCAGTATTCCAGCTATATGACGGCGGTCTGTAAAATAATCAAGTCTGGACCAGACTATCCAGTGATTGACATCATGAGCATCGACCCACGCATTGGGGTCGATGACATGTATCAACCAATTCAGCGAGCCTGACCACCCGATCCTGTTAGTCGCCTTTTACGGCAAGTATGGGTTGCTGAAGACCTATTCTAACCCGGAAGACTGCCTGGTGATGGGGCCACACAAACAGTATTGTGATTGAGATCATGCATGGTCGGCTTTGCTGGATGTTCACAGAGACATTCGCAAACATTTCAATACATGGTTGTCTTCTGAATTTTGTACGAGATCTCAAGTGTCCCTATTGAGTAGTATCGCATCACAGGTATTAGAAACAGCTCTTTAAATGCCATAATGTATACATAAACAATAAATATAATGCCCCTAGGCAGATACAGTTCAGTGTAGTGAACTGGTTCCTGCGTAATATCCTAGCACTGAGAAGACAGGAGAAATAGCGGAGGACAACTATCCAAGTCCATTATCACAGTGATCACAGTCATAATGACCCAGTGTCTCATTGCCTTCTAACAGGGAACATACTCTTCCGTGTTGAGGAATTTGTAGAAGTAGGGCAGGTCGTGAAAGTGGTGTTCCCCAGTCACATGGGCAATACAGCGTCCCAGAACCAGTTGCCGGCCATATGTGACGCATTCCCCACGGTCTCGACACAGCCCAGCTTTCATCAGCCAATCACACAGATCATGTCCAATAAATACATTGCGATACTTCCTCAGTCGGTATCTGAAATGAAGCAAAAAATCAAAGTATGTTTTGTCGTATTCGATTTATTTCTTCAATGTGCAAAATGTTTATTAAATCACAAGCTTGGTACATGCATTTTACTGGGTATCAAACCCGGGCTTCGTCAAGATGCGTCAAAACTGTAACTAGGGGACTATCGGCCCAGGAACAGAGACCACAGTAGCCATAGTAACGGCTGGACTATAGGGCCAGGAACAGAGGCTACAGTAACCATGGTAACTGCTGGACTACTGGTCCAGGAACAGAGACCACAGTAACCATGGTAACTGCTGGACTACTGGTCCAGGAACAGAGACCACAGTAACCATGGTAACTGCTGGACCAGGAACAGAGACCACAGTTACCATGGTAACTGCTGGACAACTTGTGAGGAACAGACACAGACAAGCTAGGGTAACAACTGGGCTACTAGGCCAGGAACAGACAAACTGACGAGTCATATTGATACAGGTCTCTATGTGCTGGTACTTGTTGTGAGGGGAGAGTGACTGACTGAATAATAGGATGATCAATCAGTCTCCACATTCAAAATGATTATCAATTGTGAAATCAATATCTGCCTGAGAATCCCCACAGCAAGACAAGCATGAGATACTGAGGACATTCCCAATCTTAATTGCCCCATTGAGGGGGTATGGTTAACTATATTGAGGGGGTATGGTTAACTACATTGAGGGGGTATGGTTAACTACATTGAGGGGGTATGGTTAACTATATTGAGGGGGTATGGTTAACTATATTGAGGGGGTATGGTTAACTACATTGAGGGGGTATGGTTAACTATATTGAGGGGGTATGGTTAACTACATTGAGGGGGGGATATGGTTAACTATATTGAAGGGGTATGGTTAACTATATTGAGGGGGTATGGTTAACTATATTGAGGGGGGATATGGTTAACTATATTGAGGGGGTATGGTTAACTATATTGAGGTGCTATGGTTAACTACATTGAGGGGGGGTATGGTTAACTATATTGAGGGGGTATAGTTAACTACATTGAGGGGGTATGGTTAACTATATTGAGGTGCTATGGTTAACTACATTGAGGGGGGGGGGGGGGTATGGTTAACTACATTGAGGGGGGGTATGGTTAACTATATTGAGGGGGGGTATGGTTAACTACATTGAGGGGGTATGGTTAACTATATTGAGGGGGGATATGGTTAACTACATTGAGGGGGTATGGTTAACTATATTGAGGGGGTATGGTTAACTACATTGAGGGGGGATATGGTTAACTATATTGAGGGGGTATGGTTAACTATATTGAAGGGGGTTATGGTTAACTACATTGAGGGGGTATGGTTAACTATATTGAGGGGGGATATGGTTAACTATATTGAGGGGGTATGGTTAACTATATTGAGGGGGTATGGTTAACTACATTGAGGGGGTATGGTTAACTATATTGAGGGGGTATGGTTAACTACATTGAGGGGGTATGGTTAACTATATTGAGGGGGTATGGTTAACTACATTGAGGGGGTATGGTTAACTACATTGAGGGGGTATGGTTAACTACATTGAGGGGGTATGGTTAACTACATTGAGGTGCTATGGTTAACTACATTGAGGGGGGGTATGGTTAACTACATTGAGGGGGTATGGTTAACTATATTGAGGGGGTATGGTTGACTACATTGAGGGGGGATATGGTTAACTATATTGAGGGGGTATGGTTAACTATATTGAGGGGGGGTATGGTTAACTACATTGAGGGGGTATGGTTAACTACATTGAGGGGGGGGGTATGGTTAACTACATTGAGGGGGTATTGTTAACTACATTGAGGGGGGATATGGTTAACTATATTGAGGGGGTATGGTTAACTATATTGAGGGGGTATGGTTAACTACATTGAGGGGGTATGGTTAACTATATTGAGGGGGTATGGTTAACTATATTGAGGGGGGATATGGTTAACTATATTGAGGGGGTATGGTTAACTATATTGAGGGGGGATATGGTTAACTATATTGAGGGGGTATGGTTAACTATATTGAGGGGGTATGGTTAACTATATTGAGGGGGGAATGTTAAAAACATTGAGGGGGTGTGGTTAACTATATTGAGGGGGTATGGTTAACTATATTGAGGGGGTATGGTTAACTACATTGAGGGGGTATGGTTAACTATATTGAGGGAGGGTATGGTTAACTACATTGAGGGGGTATGGTTAACTACATTGAGGGGGTATGGTTAACTACATTGAGGGGGTATGGTTAACTACATTGAGGGGGGGTATGGTTAACTACATTGAGGGGGTATGGTTAACTATATTGAGGGGGTATGGTTAACTATATTGAGGGGGTATGGTTAACTACATTGAGGGGGTATGGTTAACTATATTGAGGGGGTATGGTTAACTACATTGAGGGGGTATGGTTAACTATATTGAGGTGCTATGGTTAACTACATTGAGGGGGTATGGTTAACTATATTGAGGGGGTATGGTTAACTATATTGAGGGAGGGTATGGTTAACTACATTGAGGGGGTATGGTTAACTACATTGAGGGGGTATGGTTAACTACATTGAGGGGGGGTATGGTTAACTATATTGAGGGGGTATGGTTAACTACATTGAGGGGGTATGGTTAACTACATTGAGGGGGTATGGTTAACTACATTGAGGGGGTATGGTTAACTACATTGAGGGGGTATGGTTAACTACATTGAGGGGGTATGGTTAACTACATTGAGGGGGTATGGTTAACTACATTGAGGGGGTATGGTTTACTAAACATTTGCCATCTTACCTCTGATCTTTGACAATCTGCTTCTCGCACTTTTCTCTATGATACTCTCTGAACTGATCACAAGTAAATTTGGTCTCCTCGCTGATCTCATCCCGCTTCGGAAGCTGGACAATCTCAACTCCGTAAATAAGACGCCGTGCTCTGAAAGTACACCCAAACTTGGTATCACTGCTCCTACAGGCTATTTGTCAAACCCTGGAGTGTTATAATTTAATTAAGATGTTAGCCACCTAGATCTAAACTTCTTCATTCAAATTTGCTTAAACATTTGTTTAACAAATGTAGCTAAAATATAAACAAACATGAATTTCTATTCAACATAAGTGTGTGAAATATTACCATTGAAAATATATATTGTTTTGTTTTGTACTGGTCTGTACATGCTCTGAATTGCTCAATGTTCAAAAATGAACATGTGGTCAAGTACACAAAGAGACAAATTCACAAGTTAGTTGCAAAACTGAAGATATGGTACTTCCAGTGACAGTTAAAGTTTCCGGTATATATTTTGCAATCACAGAATGGTGACTTGTTCAGGGACTGAATTGTTACAGACAGAATGTGTTATACATATTAGACACCGGGTGATACGTGCACATAACACAGGTGTAAAGCACATGCACTATCAACATAGTACCATTTGTGAGCTTGTTAGATGTTGTCTACATTCATATATCAGACATATGAACTGTCAATGGTTAGGCAAACTGTCAACAATTAGGCATATTCACAGTTAATGGTTAGGCATATTCACAGTTAATGGTTAGGAACATCAACAGTCAGTGGTTAAGCATGTTAACATGTTAACAGTGAGGCATACAAACAGTCAATAGTTAGTCACATTAGTAATCATGGAGGTATATTACTCAAGGCAGTGTTAAGATAAATTCAAAACTTCAAACCAAACATTCCACTGTTTAGTGGCGAGTCTCAGAAATCTGTTCTGGACAAGAACCATTTTACAGCCTCCACAGTGCATCAATAATACCTACTTTCATCCAACAATATATTAATTTTAACCATGTGGGAATAAAACCCAGATTGGCCTTGATACAGCTTACTAGACCAAAGAGAAATTTAGTAGACTCAGACCTCGGACTAGTGGCTGAAGTCTCAATAACTTCAAGCAATATTCATTCACAAAGGGACTGAGCATTTCTGCCACAATTTAGGTAATCTGCCACAGGTTACTGGCCTGTGTCAGATCCTAATCCTGCACTGTTCATGGTCCGTGGTCTAAGTATTGGTCATGCACACTTTGAAGAACATTCCATCAACAATCAACCACCAAAATAATAACCTCAAACATGCTATTGCGGCTCAAGATTATTTCTACCGCTCGATAATCTGTTGTTGTTTTCTTCATTTTAATAATTTTTCACATAAATATTTTTTGTAAAAAATATATTAAAAAATACAGAAGCTTTTTCACTGGAACTCCAATAAATTAATTAAGACAAAATAATTGAAAGGTTTAGGCTGAATCGTTATCAGCACAATGGTCTAAAAGTGTTCAGAGAGGCAAGGGATCTTTGATGTTTACCGTGCTAGCATCAAAACCTGGGGACACTCTACACGTTTACCTTTTAACATTAGGGTAATGTTAAGGACGCCTCTCATGCTTAATTTCAAACCCTCCACCTGTCTCCCACGAAGGCGACTCTGTACATTCAATAGTTCCAGGACTTTGTACAAAGATTTGCAATAGCTAGACCCAAATACAGCTTCTGTTCCGAATAACACTACACATGCAGTGCAAACAAAAACAACAACAATCACACTGCATTCCAAATATAACATGCACAAATTTTAAAGCTTAAACAAAACAATGCAGTCCTTGAAAGCAGAAAATGCACCATAAACTTACTAATCCAACTAAGATACTGCAAACTCAAGCCAAACAAAATCAAGAATGTTAAGTGTTGTCATGGTTACCTAACATATAGAATATTGATCCACCTGTATCGAGATATGTATCTGCAATAAAACATGAGAAATGGCAAATCATGAATGAGTGATAAAAGTAATAAATACTTAAATGTGAGAACAGTACACAATCCAAATAGATCACACTCACCTGGTATATTTTCCAATGAATAAGTATTGTTCTACACCAATTATATAAGCAATATTCCAGCCAAATCAATTTTACTCCTGTGAGGAATCAAACCCAGACCTCAACAACCAGGGTTCCCCACAGCCAGGCAACATCCCAGATGAAGTGAGAAAGAGTGTGTGAGTGATTGAGTGAAATAATGGTTTATGCCATAGTCAACAATGGAAATAAAGTGAAGTTTATTCTGGGAAAGGCAAACCAGTGCATGAACAACAATCCATGTACGAGTAAGTGAGTGAGTTGGGTTTAATGTCGCTTGAAACAGTATTCCAGTTATATCACGACTTGTCAGCTCATTGTGGGAGAAAGGCCTGAAGTGATGCTGGTCTAACACGTCAACCACTTTCATGAAACCAACAAGCACGGGTATGGTGTTCACAAACCTAGCAACATAATCATACAGAACTGGTATTTCATAGGTTTCTGGCATGCTCAAGGGACGCAACTCTGCACAGTGAATAGCGGCACCTTAGAAGACAGCGCCATCCGTGCCCCCTCATGTACGATGGTGATACACAATCTACCAAGTCTGAATGGGGTACTGGGATTACGATCACCTTAGCGCTACGACTGTGAACAAAGTCTATGTTAAGTATGGGAGTTACAATCATCTTAGGGCTACAACTATGGAAAAAGTCTATGCAAAGTATGGGAGTTACGATCATCATCTTAGCGCTAAGATTGCTTTGTGGAACATGACCCTGTCCTGCCCCAGACACTATGCAATTTCCAACTGGAGCAAAGCTCAAATAACACACAATATCTCATATCTGTTATTGATTTCAACAGCATAAACATACTACTCAATTCTGCATAGGGATATTACATTTAACCCTATGATACATAAAACCTATTATTCATAATTGGTATATTATTTTATCAAGGTCCACTTGCACGAAACAATCTTTGTGCTACGAGTATCATAAGTCTCTGTTTGGGTATCAGCATTAAGATCGTCATAGTGCTGAGATCGTTTTGTGCAAGTGGACCCAGGAAGGTTTGGTATCCCTGTCTACAGTTGAGCATCACACAACAGGGTTGAGTGAGGGAGTTTGGCAATAAATCAAAACATTTCAAAACTGTTTCCCTAACAACAAAACTACAATCCCACATTTCTCTAAGCAAATGCAGCATGTTTAGCCAACGGGGACACCACAGTTACAAAGTGCAGAATAAAACAAGGACAAAAACACGATTTCTGACATAAACCCAATTCCAAAACATATTGACCCACCACTCCAACAGGCCCTCAAAGCCTTCATGCGGGTAACCAGGGGAACCACAATTAACTCAATGTACCAACAACAAAAGTCAGCACTACTCAACACGCACAGTTCAAGGTATTCGGACAGTAATTCTCATTAACTTGAACAGTGTTTATTGAAGAAGTTCTTGGCTGTTTCACAAAGCAATCGGAGAAATAAGAGTGAATGAGAGAGTGTTCATTTTGGCCGCAACAGGGAGGGTGAGTGAGAGAGTGAAATTTATCAACATCGCAGTGACAGTGTCCCCACCAATCAGGAATCAGGGAGGGACTGAGTTGTATTTTTGTGCCGCTTTCAGCAATATTCCAGCAATATCACAGCAGGTGACGAAAGTGAGTGAGTGAGTAAGTATGGTTTTACACTGCTTTTAGCAATATTCCAGCAATATCACCGCGGAGGGACACCAGAAATGAGCTTCATACATTGTACCCATTTCGGGAATCGAACCCGGGTCTTCGGCGTGACAAGCGAACGCTTTACCCACTAGGCGACCTAACCACCCCATATGGGGAAGAGAACCCAGGTCTTCGGGGTGACCAGCAAACACATTAACAGCTAGGCTACACCACCACCCCCTTGCAATCGGGGAACGGCGGAACATGAACGTGGTCACATCAGGGGGCCACCCAACCCTCATTCAGGGCTGTTGTGACAAGCAATGGGAGTGAGTGAGTGAGTTGGGTTTAACGCCGCTTTTAACAGTATTCCAGTTATATCACGGCATGTCAGCTTCATGTGAGAGGAAAGCCCGAAGTGATGCAGGTCTCAGACGTTTACCACTTCGGTGAAACCCACGAGCATGGGTATGGTGCTGACAAACCTAGAAACATAATCTGGGAACTGGGGAACTTCTTTTTGACATACAAGTATGGCAGCAGGGATTATTCTAGGGTGGGGCCTTGTGCTTTTAGGACCTAAATTTGAAAAAAGGTCCACATGTTCAAATACAAAGGGGCATTTTGCTGTATGGGGAAGTGTGGGTGTACCTCTGGATTCACATAAAGGGCCCATGTGAGAAAATTCCTCACGTCGTGAGAGTCATTGTGCTATGATTGCTCTGTGAAACGCAGCCCTGACAATGTTATCTGGTATGTTAAGATACATATGACCTTTTCAAACATCCGTACACCCATTTTATTTCGACCTGAACCAAAGGCATTCATTTCAAAATCGTCAAACCTTACCCCAAAACTCAATACTCCTACCCAAACTTAAACGTGGTATCGCCAAACTCTACTGCAAGGAAAACAATAGTTGTCAGGGAAGAAGAACACCTGATCCATGTGTGTAGATAGTGTGTAGATAGTGTGTACTGTGTAGATGGTGTGTAGATAGTGTGTACTGTGTAGATGGTGTGTAGATAGTGTGTACTGTGTAGATGGTGTGTAGATAGTGTGTACTGTGTAGATGGTGTGTAGATAGTGTGTACTGTGTAGATGGTGTGTAGATAGTGTGTACTGTGTAGATGGTGTGTAGATAGAATGTACTGTGTAGATGGTGTGTCGATAGTGTGTACTGTGTAGATGGTGTGTAGATAGTGTGTACTGTGTAGATGGTGTGTAGATAGTGTGTACTGTGTAGATGGTGTGTAGATAGTGTGTACTGTGTAGATGGTGTGTAGATAGTGTGTACTGTGTAGATGGTGTGTAGATAGTTTGTAGTGTGAAGATGGTTTATAGATAGTGTGTACTGTGTAGATGGTGTGTAGATAGTTTGTAGTGTGAAGATGATTGTGTAGTGTGTAGATAGTTTGTAGTGTAAAGATGGTTTGTAGATAGTGTGTAGATAGTGTGTACTGTGTAGATGGTGTGTAGATAGTGTGTACTGTGTAGATGGTGTGTAGATAGTGTGTACTGTGTAGATGGTGTGTAGATAGTTTGTAGTGTAAAGATGGTTTGTAGATAGTGTGTAGTTAGTGTGTACTGTGTAGATGGTGTGTAGATAGTGTGTACTGTGTAGATGGTGTGTAGATAGTTTGTAGTGTAAAGATGGTTTGTAGATAGTGTGTAGATAGTGTGTACTGTGTAGATGGTGTGTAGATAGTTTGTAGTGTGAAGATGATTGTGTAGTGTGTAGATAGTGTGTACTGTGTAGATGGTGTGTAGATAGCGTGTAGATAGTGTGTACTGTGTAGATGGTGTGTAGATAGTTTGTAGTGTGAAGATGATTGTGTAGTGTGTAGATAGTTTGTACTGTGTAGATGGTGTGTAGATGGTGTGTAAATAGTGTGTACTGTGTAGATGGTGTGTAGATAGTTTGTAGTGTGAAGATGATTGTGTAGTGTGTAGATAGTTTGTAGTGTGTAGATGGTGTGTAGATAGTGTGTAGATAGTGTGTAGATAGCGTGTAGATAGTGTGTACTGTGTAGATGGTGTGTAGATAGTTTGTAGTGTGAAGATGATTGTGTAGTGTGTAGATAGTTTGTAGTGTGAAGATGGTTTGTAGATAGTGTGTAGATAGTGTGTAGTGTGAAGATGATTGTGTAGTGTGTAGATAGTTTGTAGTGTGTAGATGTTTGTAGATAGTGTGTAGATAGTGTGTGTAGCGTGTAGATAGTTTGTAGTGTGAAGATGATTGTATAGTGTGTAGATAGTGTGTACATGGTGTAGTGTGTAGATAGTTTGTAGTGTGATGATGGTTTTTAGATAGTTGTTTCGATGGCATGTAGTGTGTAGATAGTTTGTAGTGTGAAGATGATTGTGTAGTGTGTAGATAGTGTGTAGTGTGTAGTGTGTAGATAGTTTGTAGTGTGAAGATGGTTTGTAGATAGTTGTGTCGATGGCATGTAGTGTGTAGATAGTTTGTAGTGTGAAGAAGATTGTGTAATGTGTAGATAGTTTGTAGTGTGAAGATGGTTTGTAGATAGTTGTGTCGATGGCATGTAGTGTGTAGATAGTTTGTAGTGTGAAGATGATTGTGTAGTGTGTAGATAGTGTGTAGTGTATAGATAGCTTGTAGTGTGTAGATGGTTTGTAGATAGTTGTGTTGATGGCATGTAGTGTGTAGATAGTTTGTAGTGTGAAGATGATTGTGTAGTGTGTAGATAGTGTGTAGTGTGTAGCTGGTTGTGTAGTGTGTAGATGATTGTGTAGTGTTTAGATAATGCAGGGTGTGTAGTGTGTAGATGGTTTGTAGATACTTGTGTGGTGTGTAGATAGTTGTGTAGATAGTGTATAGATGTGTGTAGACTGTGTGTAGATTACTCGTGTGTAGATAATTGGTGTGTAGATTACTTGTGTGTAGATAATTGGTGTGTAGATTACTTGTGTGTAGATAATTGGTGTGTAGATTACTCGTGTGTAGATAATTGGTGTGTAGATTACTTGTGTGTAGATAATTGGTGTAGATTACTTGTGTGTAGATAATTGGTGTGTAGATTACTCGTGTGTAGATAATTGGTGTGTAGATTACTTGTGTGTAGATAATTGGTGTGTAGATTACTTGTGTGTAGATAATTGGTGTGAAGATGGTGTGTCAAATTGTCAGAAAAAATCCTTTATATCAGATCTTAGTTCTTGCTATTGCTAGACAAAGATCTGAGGAGATCCCATTAAGGGTCACGTCAGAACGACCTTCCATCCAACCAGTCAGACTCTCGCTTACCAGATCAGGAAAGTGACAGTCGGAATGTGTTTTCTAATCATGCAAACTCAAAAAGGTTAACACCTTCCGAATGACAGATCTCTCACTTCAGTGGGATAACCATTTGAAACTGAATAGACTTTCAATAGGTCGTGGGAATTACTGCCATACAATCTTCACATTCCAGAATTTTCTTTTGTTACTTTTTCAGTCTGGAATAGAAGTCACCGGTTTGAAAGAAGCGCCGTAAATCTGATTGGCTAATGTTGACTTCTTTTAAGTCATTTCATTAGTTGATCAAAGTTCAGAAAAGGTCGTTCTGACGTGACCCATAATAGGATGTCCTCAGTTCTTTGTTTAGCAGTCGCGAGGACTGAGATCAGATTTTAATGAGATTAGATTGTCAGGTTTATATTGGCGAAGTTTGCAGACATTTACCACCTTGGTGAAACCCAGGTACATGTAGACTAGGATCATAATTTGGGATTTGAACCCACCAGCAGTAGAACCTGGTCGGCAATGCACAGGTAATTGCAACCCCTCAGATCACTGGGCGCTGTGTGCCGAAACTCAATGAAGGTTCTTGAATAGCATAGTATTTTAATTGACATTAACTTCGAACCCCTAAATGTTAAGAACCGCTGGGTATGTCAAAGTGCAACTCACCTTCTGATGATAGGTGTGAACATGAGTCTGGTGTCGAAGCCAAACACAGCAAACGACAGGAAACCCTGAAACAGACATATAAAATATTCAAGTCCACTGCAGGGAAATGTAACAGTTTTTGTGAACTGACAGAAATAGTCCATGACAAACAATTTGTTGCAAATGAAATTCCTTACCATAACCAGTCACATGTGTTATGGTGATTCAAACTGATACTTATGTAGTCTGAATCTACAGATCATAACTTCAAAGTAGAATAGAATAGAATCTCAATGAAACCTGGTGCCTGTAGTTGAAGGCAGCACTCAGAAACTCAATCCCCTCACTCACCCACAGTTGAAGACAATCTCCTCACTCACCCACAGTAGAAGACAATCTCCTTACCTGCCCATAGTAGAGGACAATCTCCTCACTCACCCACAGTAGAAGACAATCTCCTTACCTGCCCATAGTAGAGGACAATCTCCTCACTCACCCACAGTAGAAGACAATCTCCTTACCTGCCCATAGTAGAGGACAATCTCCTTTCCTGCCCATAGTAGAGGACAATCTCCTTTCCTGCCCATAGTAGAGGACAATCTCCTTACCTTCCCATTGTAGAGGACAATCTCCTTACCTGCCCATAGTAGAAGACAATTTGCTTCCCTACCCATAGTAGAGGACAATCTCCTTACCTGCCCATTGTAGAGGACAATCTCCTTACCTGCCCATTGTAGAGGACAATCTCCTTACCTGCCCATAGTAGAAGACAATCTCCTTACCTGCCCATAGTAGAGGACAATCTCCTTACCTGCCCATAGTAGAGGACAATCTCCTTACCTGCCCATAGTAGAGGACAATCTCCTTACCTTCCCATTGTAGAGGACAATCTCCTTACCTGCCCATAGTAGAAGACAATCTCCTTACATTCCCATAGTAGAGGACAGTCTCCTTACATTCACATAGTAGAGGACAATCTCCTTACCTGCCCATAGTAGAGGACAATCTCCTTACCTGCCCATAGTAGAAGACAATCTCCTTACCTGCCCATAGTAGAAGACAATTTCCTTACCTGCCCATAGTAGAAGACAATTTCCTTACCTGCCCATAGTAGAAGACAATTTCCTTACCTGCCCATAGTAGAAGACAATTTCCTTACCTGCCCATAGTAGAAGACAATTTCCTTACCTGCCCATAGTAGAAGACAATACCCTTACCTGCCCATAGTAGAAGACAATTTCCTTACCTGCCCATAGTAGAAGACAATTTCCTTACCTGTCCATAGTTGAAGACACCATCCAGGAACTCAATCTCGATGTATATTCCTGTAGGATGACTGTTGAACAATCGCCACACGCACAAAAACAAACCCTGAAAAACGAAACAAAATCATGATAATAATGTCCAACTCAAATTTTGACTAGGACGTCCCTTTCATTATCCCAAAACACTAACTGACCAGCTATTGCCAGGAAGTTATTGGCCAAGGTTGTGGCCAGCCTCATACTGACTACTCACTATGAACATGGACAGTATCAGCAGCAGCAGCAAAACAAGATGGTGTCCAGTCTGGTATTCCTCTTGCAACATAGAGTATGACTGCTGAGGTTCCTCAGCCTGTGGGTCATCCATTTGAACGTTCACTTTCGTCATGTAGGATCGCAGTCGACCGATACACTGTCGCTTCTGGGTCGTATTGCACCGCCCAACCAGACATGTACGCTCATCTATGCTGGGGAAGAGCATGGTATCGGAGCCTTGTGATTGGTCGGATGTGACACTGCCAGTTTCTTCTCTTTTAGGGGAACTGGGGAAGGGAATGATGTCCTCTATGCTGGGAACTGGAAATACAGAAACAAGTGAGTTTATTGCAGCTTTGGACAGTACTTTTGTTATATCACAGCTTCGGGTGAGTGAGTTAGATATTAACTTTTTAGGGGCAGTATGTATCATGGCTTAAGAGTGATTGAGTTTGATATCAACCCCCTTGGACAATAATTCATTTATATCACAGCTTTGAGTTAAGCAGATAGTTGTTTTTGTTTTCTTTGTTTGTTGTTTAATACAGCACTCTCAATATTCCACCTATAGGTCTATAAATAATCAAGCCTAGACCAGACAACCCAGTGATTGAGATCATGAGCATCAATGTACACAATTGTAATACGATGACATGCATCAACAAAGTCTGTAAGTTTGACCAACCAATCCCATTAGTCGCCTCTTACAAGTATAGGTTACAGAAGATCAATTCTAACCCGGATCTTCACGGTTTCTTTTGCTAGTATTTTAGTTATATCACAGCATGGATGAAAAGGACAATGTCACCTTCAACCTTGTTATTGGAACAAGAGGACTTGAGGTACAGAAGCTCACCTTTATTGGGAATCCAAAACAATATTTTGAACTTAAAACAAGAAATTGTAACCTCTTTCAAATGACCTCAAACTTTGGTCAGAAAGCCTAGTGTACTGTCCTGGTACTGCATCTGCAACTTCTCAGACACAAAACTAAAGTTACCATGGTAACTGTTACCTGTCACAGCTCCATTACAGGCATCATACGTAGACTGGTTGGAGTTGTTAACGTCACTGCTGTCGGCGGGAGTACGCTTGACAACACTGCCCTCTGTCTGCTGGATGCCACTTCCTGTAGCTGGTCTACCTTCGGATCTCACTCTGCTCTCAACCACATACAGTCGGTCATTTCGCTGACGGATGACCAATGCAAAGATTGAAATACCAATGCCAAGAACCAGCACTAGAATCGACACCATAGACTGCAAGGAAAGATACACTTAGAAAATTAAAAACATTGAACATTCTTAAATTCACTCTGAAGGTATTTTAAATAAGTTATCACACTGCAGTTGCTTCTATTTCAACACTAAACAAATTATATGTGCTGCAAAACCCAACAGTTTTGTACTATGCTGGTTGTCATTGATACCTAGGTGAGATTGGGCCAATCAAAGCAAGCGAGTGATATGGCATGGAGCACCACTTTACAAGGGATTGCAGTCATAATAGGGCAAGCTCAAAGCGATGTAGGCCGAATACATTTACCGCCTTGTTGATACACATAACATGTGCATACAAACTTCCAAGAAAAAGTGAATGGTTTATGTTTGTTTTGTTTTTTGTTGTTTAACGCCGCACCCAGCAATATTCCAGCTATATGACTGTGGTCTGTAAATAATCGAGTCTGGACCAGACAATCCAGTGAGTTACATCATGAATATCTTCACGGGTCGAATGGTTTATGAGTCATGCCCGGAGCCAAACCTTAGCCTCATTGGAACCTATGTCCAAACAGTTGCCTTGGAAACACCAAAACTAAAAACCTAAACATCCTGAATAGTAAAATGCACTTTTTATCTCTTGCCTTATGCGCAGAAACCTGTACTGAATAAAAAATCATTATCCTAATCGATTGGGACTAGTGAAATTCAAGCAAGACCAGAGATATTTCCTTGTAGACTCCCACATTGACCATTAAGTACATGCTATCTCTGTGGCAGATGATTTTTACAGAAAAGTTACTCCAGATTGGAACGATTTTTTCATATTTTCTAAATTTCACATTTTACAAGTTTTTCTAGACTACAGGTACACAAAACTTAAAAGTTGTGGTTACAGACTTCAGCTGGCCGCACTCTCTAGAGCAATAAAGCTGAATGACGGACAGAGAATTACGTCACACATTACTGTACCGCAGCATATAATACAAGAACAGATACCACACTCGAACTCAGGCATGTCAAACAGGCCCACAGTACTACCCCACCATAACGTGTAAATTAACATTTTACACTACCACTATTTGATCAACTTAAACTACCCTGTTATAATCCGTGGCCGACATTAAAGCATGAAATTAATGTGGGCCATGTCATGACCCCAATATAAAAAGTCAAAGGTTGATGGGACCATGGATTCATAGGAGTTCAACCCAGTGACCCTCTAAATTCGGCACACTGATAACTGATCCATACCATTGCCCCAAGTAAGTGCCTCTTACGACATGTACAGGTTGCTAGGGAACTATTCTATCCCAGGATGCCCACTGGGTCAAATAGGTACTTCAAGGTAACGCAGCACCTTTCGCCATCACACAAGCAAGATTATTACTCTGGCAGGGTCTATTTAGCTTAAGCATCCATTAAGAGGAGAAAACTGATAACAGGATAGCTTACTGATGATGCATATTTGGATGTGTCTGAAAATGCCATACATGTTCAAATTCAACAAAATATTTATACCAATTGTTTAACTGTTACAAAATTTCATTTCAATATGGTGAACGTGCCAACTCATTTCAATATTGTGTGGAAAACATTGAATGATAACGGGTACAATTAAAAAAAAAAGATGAACACAAAATTACAATGAAAAGATACAGCAAATTACCTCCCTTTGACTTCAATTATTTATGCATTCTTATTCATCCAAACATGCTACATGTACATTTACAAGGAAAACGTTACTAGCATTCAATGCAGATTCAAGCTCAGAAATTTCAAGCTCATGTGGCTTATCAGCATAAAAACAGAGTGACTGAGTGAGTATGTGTGTTTGATAATTGATAATTGCTTATCACTTAACACTATATTCAGCGATATTCCAGCTCTTTGACAGCTGCCTGTAAATAATCGAGTCTGACCAGATAATCCAGTGATTGATAATATGAGCATCGATCCACATCGTCGGGGCATGTTGACACCAAGACACCAAGCCTGACTACCCAGTCCATTAAGGCACATCTTACAACCAGCATTGGTTGCAAGGGACCAAATCTAACCTGGAACCCCCACGGGTTGTGACTGAGTATGTCTGTATTGTGTTTGCTCAGTTGTTTAATATCACTCAGCAATATTTCAGCTCAATGACAGTAGCCTGTAAATAATCCAAATCTGGACCAGACATGTGATTGATATGAGACGTCACCACTCCTCACAACATCATCCATTAACTCGCCTGCTATGACAATCACAGGTTGGTGGGGATCAATTCAAACTAGGCACCCCCATAACACCACTTTGAACAATATTTCAGTAATATCAGCTTAATCATTGTTAAGGTTAAAGAAAGACCCAATAAGACTTGTAGTAGAAGATGGTGAGGTGAAATGAGGTTTAATGTCTGGTTCACGACTGTTGCATTCGTATAGTGACGTGCATGCACGCATGTGTGTGTCTACTTGTACTAGCCCGGACTTATGCCGAGTATATAGTGCTAGCCCACTAAGATATGGTGTGATGCGGATCGCGATTGAACCCCCGACCTTCCACTCTCTCAGCAGACTCTCACAAAAACCACATGTGTATAGCATGAGCCACATGTGTATAGCATGAGCCACATGTGTATAGCATGAACCACATGTGTATAGCATGAACCACATGTGTATAGCATGAACCACATGTTTATAGCATGAACCACATGTGTATAGCATGAACCACATGTGCATAGCATGAACCATAGAACAAGGATCCTAATTTAATTTTAACGGCACACTCAGCAATATTCCAGCTACATTACGTCAGTCTGTAAATAATCAAGTCTGAATCAGACAATCCAGTGATTGACATCATGCCATCAACCAAGTTACAGAAATGACCACCCAATCCTCTTAGTGGCCTCCTATGACAAGCACAGGTTCCTGGGGCCCTCTGTTTATACCCCAAGCCCCACAGCATCCTAAATAGATCATGGTTATGTCACGTTCACTAATCCTTTTAACACATTTAGTGAGTGAGTGAGTGAGTTTGGTTTTACGCCACTTTTAGCAATATTCCAGCAATATCATGGCGGGGGACACCAGAAATGAGCTTCACACATTGTGCCCATGTCGGGAATCGAACCCGGGTCTTCAGCGTGCTGAGCGAACGCTGTAACCATTAGGCCACCCGACCGCCCCTTTAACACATTTACAGAAAACCAATAGATTTCATTTCGCTAGCTAATAATTCATGCCGATAACAGTCATGCCATGCATGTCATTGAACATGGATTTACATAGAACATTAAACACAAACATTATAATCATTATTAAACATTATTCGTAACAATTATAATGTAAATAGTAAACATTTCAACAACATTAGACTCAAACATGATAAATTATGTACACTACAAGATGCATAGAAACAGTGACATTTTTCCAAAAGTACCATTAACAGTGCAAGATCTCGGTGTCGATTTTCGGGTCCCAATATCATCTGAAAAACAGCAACCACACCAGAAGGGAGAGGTTAAGATAGGTAAGGTGTGAAAAGTGTGAAAAACTGTGACAACAAACAACTGAACATGTACAACGTATACGGCCAGTGACTTGAGTCGTCAAATTAATTTGGTCCATTAAGACTTGAGCCATCAAATTTATTTTGGTCCATAAAGACTTGAGCCGTCAAATTTATATTGGTCCATTAAGACTTGAGCCGTCAAATTTATTTTGGTCCATAAAGACTTGTGCCGTCAAATTTATTTTGGTCCATAAAGACTTGAGCCGTCAAATTTATTTAGGTCCATTAAGACTTGAGCCGTCAAATTTATTTTGGTCCATTAAGACCTGAGACGTCAAATTTATTTTGGTCCATAAAGACTTGAGCCGTCAAATTTATTTTGGTCCATAAAGACTTGAGCCGTCAAATTTATTTTGGTCCATTAAGACTTGAGCCATCAAATTTATTTTGGTCCATAAAGACTTGGGCCATCAAATTTATTTTGGTCCATAAAGACTTGAGCCGTCAAATTTATGTTGGTCCATTAAGACTTGAGCCGTCAAATTTATGTTGGTCCATAAAGACTTGTGCCGTCAAATTTATTTTGGTCCATAAAGACTTGAGCCGTCAAATTTATTTTGGTCCATTAAGACTTGAGCCGTCAAATTTATTTTGGTCCATTAAGACCTGAGTCGTCAAATTTATTTTGGTCCATAAAGACTTGAGCCGTCAAATTTATTTTGGTCCATAAAGACTTGAGCCGTCAAATTTATTTTGGTCCATTAAGACTTGAGCCGTCAAATTTGTTTTGCTCCATAAAGACTTGAGTCGTCAAATTTATTTTGGTCCATAAAGACTTGAGCCGTCAAATTTATTTTGGTCCATAAAGACTTGAGCTGTCAAATTTATTTTGGTCCATTAAGACTTGAGCCGTCAAATTTATTTTGGTCCATTAAGACTTGAGCCGTCAAATTTATTTTGGTCCATTAAGACTTGAGCCATCAAATTTATTTTGGTCCATAAAGACTTGAGCCGTCAAATTTATTTTGGTCCAATAAGACCTGAGCCTTCAAATTTATTTTGGTCCATTAAGACTTGAGCCGTCAAATTTATTTTGGTCCATTAAGACTTGAGCCGTCAAATTTATTTTGGTCCATTAAGACTTGAGCCATCAAATTTATTTTGGTCCATTAAGACCTGAGCCGTCAAATTTATTTTGGTCCATTAAGACTTGAGCCATCAAATTTATTTTGGTCCATTAAGACTTGAGCTGTCAAATTTATTTTGGTCCATTAAGTTCAGCTTATGAAAAGACCTCATGTTCAGATAACACTAACATTTCATTTTCTAACCATTTTTGAGGAAGAAGAATCAAAACATGTCGGCATTCATGCTTATGTGACCCTCTTTCAACCCACACATGAAAACTTTTCTTGTCAGTGTAAGTATGTTATGTGAAATAAATGTTTCATAAAAATCACATTTGTGAAACTAGAAAGGTGTTGCATTGCAAAACCGAAGCAGCCCATCCCTGCCTTTTCCTAAATGCCAAAAAAACTCACCAGAAACATTTATCATGAAAATTTGACCAAACCAGATGAGATGGCAGCTGACCTCACCAATATCTATTAATATCAATCATATGATATCATTAATGTTGTCAAATCCAGCTAACTTTAAAACTGTGTTTAATTCCATAACTTCTGGTTTCGGAACACTCACACATGACAACTTTAAAACATATAGCATGCCGTGTGCAACATACGCTTGCAGTCGGAAAGCGCACGTAAAATCCCCAACGTCAGTCAGTCAGTCAGTCAGCCTATAGCTATTTAACACAAAAGTTATATGCACTTCTCTCTTAATGACCTTGGCCCTCATTTTCAGCCAATCATATGCTTGATTATTTCTAGATAAAAACATGGGTATAAGCTCTCACAAATGTGTTAGATAAACACAGGAGTTGCTTTCGGTACAAGGAGTCAGAACGACCTGAAGAATCACCATTCCAGTGACCTTGACCTACAATGAAGGTCGATGAAAACCTTACCACTTCAATGCCCACCCCTGAGGATGTGTACCTAAGTTCACACAACTACATTGAGCACTTTAGTTATTCTGACCTCGAGAGTTTGAATTTGACCTTTGGCGCCAGAGGCAGAAACTGACAAATGTATCACTTCTACATGGGGCTGTCAATTATTGTTTGTTTGTCGCTTAATATCGCTCAGCAATATTCCAGCTGTATGACGGCAGTCTGTAAATAATCAAAAATGGACCAAACAATTAAGTGATTGACATCACAAGCATCAATCTACCGGTACGCAATTGGGATACGATGACATGCATCACTCATGTCACCGAGCCTGACCACCTGATCCTGTTAGTCACCTCTTACGACAAGCAACTTCACCTCCAACGACAAGTATGAGTTGCTGAATACCTATTCTAACCCATATCTTCATGGCTTTTCTAATTAATACAATTGATCTGGAAAATAATGATGAGAATATTTTGTTACATTATTCTACATTATTCAACATCAATTATTTAACATGATTCACACTACTCTGAATCTGAATGCTGGCCATTTCATCCACCCAAAATCGTCCCACATGTTCAATTGTTTGTAACGTGTTAAAAAATATTCCAAACAATAAACCATCATTAAAAGCATAATTATATAAAAGAAATTGCTAAATTTTGCATGCAATAACTATGTGGTAATAATTAAATAATCTACATAATTAAATCTAGTTAATGGATGCCCATAGACACAACAAAATCAACTGAAGATTTATTCATAAATAAAAGTTTCAAAAAGATGATAGTCATTTATAATAGGAAAAGAAAAAGAAATAATTGATAGGGCTCGATTTAAGGAACTTGATTTAACTTGCACCAGGCGTATGTCAACATTGACATTGCGTATTGCACCAGACAAAACCACATAAAAAAAGAGTTATTGACAGAGTATGGTAAATAAGCTTAGAGGTATTGAATGTGTTCAAAAGACATGTGTGGGCATGGGGTTAGACAAAAAAAAGTGTATTTTTGTTTTACATGCACGGTAGATGTAAATATTAGATAGCACTTTTCAATAATGGGTTTCACTGGTGCATGATCACAGAGTTAAATTGAGCCCTATTATTTCTGCTCGAGTTCCACTCCCACTGAGAGCCTGCCACATCCAAGGTCCCCCACCCCAAAATAGGAGGCAGAAAAATATAGAAAGACTTTGTTGTGGCACTAGAGGACATAACAAGCTTGAAAACTCTAATCTATTTTTGTGGTGTTCAGTTAGAAAAGCAAGTAAACACCATGGAAACATTTATCAGATAGTGAAAATTTCAAATTAAATCACTTTCACAAACTGACAAAGACATAAAACAACTATAGAGCGGTGTCGGGTATTACCGAACAGCTAACACTACATTCTAACACTACTAATTTCTGCTGTGTTTCATTACGTGAAACAATAATTAATACATACAATAATACCACGAACGTTTCATTGAATCATATTCACACGTAGAGACATGTAAATCATGCCCAACAAGACTGTTGCAGGTAGATATCATCAACTTTTAATATGTTTTACTCTTTTAGGCAAGGCCGAACACCTATGTCAAACTATTTTGAACACTCTTGTCGGGCTATTGTCGACACTCTTGTCGAACTATTCCGAACACTCTCGTCGAACTATTCTGAACACTCGTCGGGCTATTCTGAACACTCTTGTCAAGGTATTCCTGAACACTCTTGTCGAACTATTCCGAACACTCGTCGTGCTATTCTGAACACTCGTCAGGCTATTCTGAACACTCTTGTGGAGCTATTCCGAACACTTGTGTCAGGCTTTACTAACACTCTTGTCGTGCTATTCCGAACACTCTTGTTGGGCTATTCTAACACTCTTGTCAAGGTATTCTGAACACTCTTGTCGAGCTATTCCGAACATTCGTGTGGGGCTATTCTGAATACTTGTGTTGGGTTTTTCCGAAAACTCTTGTCGAGCTATTCCAAACACTTGTTTGGCCATATTTGGCCAACAAAGCCTTGCATAATGGTCTAAATAGCGTAGTGTACCATATTAGACATGATGTTATTCTTAGAAAGGGGTATCCCTGTTTTGGCCAGAGTGTTTGGCTCAGCCCCTTTATCGCCCATATACGCATCATGTGTAAGGATGCGATGCCTGTTGTTTGTTTTTTCCTGTTTTCTTTTCTGCATGTTTTTTTTGTTTCTTTTTTTTTCTGCCGATAGAGGAGTTTTTCTTTCAAGGCATGCGCACAGTAATAGCTGTCGTGATCACGGACTTGAGACAAAAATACAGAAATGAAACTTGTCTGGTAATAGCTGCTTGGTTGGTAACACCTGACATCGCTCTAGTTGATGAAACAATAGATTCATCTCAGAAACGTTTTCATATTTAATACATACAATAAATGTTACATTTCCAGAAAAATCACCTTCCAAACTTTCCATGGTCTTAAACAATTAATGACGCTATTCATTATTTCTAAGCTATAAAGGCAAATGAAGGTTAAGTACTACAAGAACACTACTGTGTATAAGAGAGAGAAGATACAGGTGAGTTGTCGTTAATTACAGGTGTGACCTACCTGCACCTGCCCCATGTGGAAAGAGGGGTCCATCTCATGCACCATCTGGTCGTGGCCGAGCAGAAACAGGACACCCACAACCAAGAACGGTATTCTGAAACAACAGAGCCCCACATAGCACTCAACTCTCATTAGGGATACAATTACCGTATTTTCTTGAGTATAGTGCGCACTTTTTTCCAAAAAACACAGCTGTGTGGAAGGGGGTGCGCATTATACACGAATTATGAGTTTGGATGTTTTTTCCCCCCATGGAAAGACATTACCGTGAGCACGAAACACCGGGAATACCATGTCAACAAATCCATACTGAATTACGCAAAATAATCATGTAATTACACTGTCTGGCTATAAAAAGTGTTATTTGTATATCTGGACTATGTTTGTAACTTATTTCATTAATTTTATTCAAAATTCCTTTTAATATTGTTTTTATTAATTTCGGCGAAATCGTGTGTGAAGCGATCGGAAGATCGCACAACTCACCGTTATTAACAGCAACCACGGTCAGAATACCGCTATTGACGCCTTGAAACGAACTTTAGTTGACAGAGAATGGATACATATATCATAAATGACATACTTTGACTCGTTAAAAGTCATATTTGTTTCTGTTTGACGATTCTATGTCAACATGAAATTCTCGCGATCACGTGCGTGTGAGCCTTGACGGTGACTGGTCAGATTGGTTCCATGTAAAAAATAATACCCGGGAATAGCGATCAGCTGCTTCGCTTAGGGTTATTATTATTTTAAATATGTTAAGTAAAGGCTGCATAAATAATTTTTTTCTGCGCATAATATTCAAATTTCTTTTTTTTCAAAATATTGAACCCGCTAGAGGGGGGTGCGCATTATACACGGGTGCGCACTATACTCAAGAAAATACGGTATTCTGAAATATAGCCACATACAGTACTCAACTCTTGATAGGGATACAGGTATTCTGAAACAACAGAGCCCCACATAGCACTCAACTCTCATTAGGGATACAATTATTCTGAAATATAGCCACATACAGTACTCAACTCTGGACTGGGACTAAGGTATTCGGGAACAATGGAGACAGATACGGTTCAATCTATTACTTACCCAAATCCAAAGAAGATGAGCCAGACTTGAACACGAAGCAGGAAGCAGAGGCCGCGGACATGGAGAAGACAGAGCGCGACAGACACCATGGCAGTCCACGTTCGGGTGCTGAACACCCCCAGTAGGAGCAGCGTGATCTGGAGGTAATCCTTCCACATGGCCACCCTGTCACTGTCAGTGTACATCAGCATCCCCACACACGACACCAGCTGCAACACACAGGGACATCATCAACATCCACACACGACACCAGCTGTAGCACACAGAGACATCATCAACATCCACACACACAACACCACCTGCAACACAGACATCATCAACATCCACACACACAACACCAGCTGTAACACAGAGACATCATCAACATCCACACACAACACCAGCTGCAACACAGACATCATCAACATCCACACACACAACACCTGCTGTAACACAGAGACATCATCAACATCCACACACAACACCAGCTGCAACACAGACATCATCAACATCCACACACAACACCACCTGCAACACAAACATCATCAACATCCACACACACAACACCCGCCGAAACACAGAGACATCGTCAACATCCACACACAACACCAGCTGCAACACAGACATCATCAACATCCACACACGACACCAGCTGTAACACAGAGACATCAACATCCACACAACACCAGCTGCAACACAGACATCATCAACATCCACACACAACACCACCTGCAACACAGACATCATCAACATCCACACACGACACCAGCTGTAACACAGAGACATCAACATCCACACAACACCAGCTGCAACACAGACATCATCAACATCCACACACAACACCAGCTGCAACACAGACATCATCAACATCCACACACAACACCACCTGCAACACAGACATCATCAACATCCACACACGACACCAGCTGTAACACAGAGACATCAACATCCACACAACACCAGCTGCAACACAGACATCAACATCCACACACAACACCACCTGCAACACAGACATCATCAACATCCACGCACGACACCAGCTGTAACACAGACATCAACATCCACACACAACACCACCTGCAACACAGACATCATCAACATCCACACGACACCAGCTGTAACACAGAGACATCAACATCCACACACAACACCACCTGCAACACAGACATCATCAACATCCACACACAACACCACCTGCAACACAGAGACATCATCAACATCCACACACACAACAACAGCTGTAACACAGAGACATCATCAACATCCACACACAACACCAGCTGCAACACAGACATCATCAACATCCACACACACAACACCAGCTGTAACACAGACATCAACATCCACACACAACACCACCTGCAACACAGAGACATCATCAACATCCACACACACAACAACAGCTGTAACACAGAGACATCATCAACATCCACACACACAACAACAGCTGTAACACAGAGACATCATCAACATCCACACACAACACCAGCTGCAACACAGACATCATCAACATCCACACACAACACCACCTGCAACACAGAGACATCATCAACATCCACACACACAACAACAGCTGTAACACAGAGACATCATCAACATCCACACACAACACCAGCTGCAACACAGACATCATCAACATCCACACACAACACCACCTGCAACACAGACATCATCAACATCCACACACACAACACCAGCTGTAACACAGACATCAACATCCACACACACAACACCAGCTGTAACACAGAGACATCATCAACATCCACACACAACACCAGCTGCAACACAGACATCATCAACATCCACACACACAACACCTGCTGTAACACAGAGACATCATCATCCACACACAACACCACCTGCAACACAGAGACATCATCAACATCCACACACAACACCAGCTGTAACACAGAGACATCATCAACATCCACACACAACACCAGCTGCAACACAGACATCATCAACATCCACGCACGACACCAGCTGTAACACAGACATCAACATCCACACACAACACCAGCTGCAACACAAACATCATCAACATCCACACACAACACCAGCTGCAACACAGACATCATCAACATCCACACACAACACCAGCTGCAACACAGACATCATCAACATCCACACACAACACCACCTGCAACACAGAGACATCATCAACATCCACACACAACAACAGCTGTAACACAGAGACATCATCAACATCCACACACAACACCAGCTGCAACACAGACATCATCAACATCCACACACACAACACCAGCTGTAACACAGACATCATCAACATCCACACACAACACCACCTGCAACAAAGACATCATCAACATCCACACACACAACACCAGCTGTAACACAGAGACATCATCAACATCCACACACAACACCACCTGCAACACAGAGACATCATCAACATCCACACACACAACACCCGCCGAAACACAGAGACATCATCAACATCCACACACAACACCACCTGCAACACAGACATCATCAACATCCACACACAACACCACCTGCAACACAGAGACATCATCAACATCCACACACAACACCAGCTGTAACACAGAGACATCATCAACATCCACACACAACACCAGCTGCAACACAGACATCATCAACATCCACGCACGACACCAGCTGTAACACAGACATCAACATCCACACACAACACCAGCTGCAACACAAACATCATCAACATCCACACACAACACCAGCTGCAACACAGACATCATCAACATCCACACACGAAACCAGCTGTAACACAGACATCAACATCCACACACACAACACCAGCTGTAACACAGAGACATCATCAACATCCACACACAACACCACCTGCAACACAGACATCATCAACATCCACACACACAACACCAGCTGTAACACAGACATCAACATCCACACACAACACCAGCTGCAACACAGACATCATCAACATCCACACACACAACACCAGCTGTAACACAGACATCAACATCCACACACACAACACCAGCTGTAACACAGAGACATCATCAACATCCACACACAACACCACCTGCAACACAGACATCATCAACATCCACACACACAACACCCGCCGAAACACAGAGACATCATCAACATCCACACACAACACCACCTGCAACACAGACATCATCAACATCCACACACACAACACCAGCTGTAACACAGAGACATCATCAACATCCACACACAACACCAGCTGCAACACAGACACCATCAACATCCACACACAACACCACCTGCAACACAGACACCATCAACATCCACACACGAAACCAGCTGTAACACAGACATCAACATCCACACACAACACCAGCTGCAACACAGACATCATCAACATCCACACACAACTCCACACACAACACCAGCTGCAACACAGACATCATCAACATCCACACACAACACCAGCTGCAACACAAACATCATCAACATCCACAAACGACACCAGCTGCAACACAGACATCATCAACATCCACACACAACACCACCTGCAACACAGACATCAACATCCACACACAACACCAGCTGCAACACAGACAACATCCACACACTACAATATGCTAATTTCCTCTTGGCACACAGACCCGATATTCACTGACATTTTTATGAATCATCCAGGCACCATTTAGGGGTTACCAACGTAGTACTGAACAGAGCATTCTCACTGATCTCATCTCATCCAGAGCTAACTCAACCATTATTTTTGAGATTACTGGTAAGTCAAATATTATCAACAAAATCATTTGCGATCTTTTCACCAACCTGAGAAAAGACAAGACACAGCGTAAATCTATGTGGTACACGTCGCCATTTGCCACTGAGAATCAATACGCCCATCACCCAAACCTGGGGAACAAAAAAACATACAAAAAGACACATCAATAACCATGGCAACAGAAAACTATATTTTTATGATATCAAAGCATATCTCCGACTGACAATAAACAATATAGGCTACAACTGATTTCCAAAGGCAGGATAAAATAGTTCTTGTAAAAATAGTTGTAATCATCGTTGTTTCATGTGGGAATAAAAGATGAACAGTGAACATTCTTGAAATAAAACTAAAAGTACCTGTCTCACTGACGATTTAAACTTGGCAGTGTCAGGTATGGCGCAATGGATCAAAATATTTATGTTTTCCCAACTCATTTTCATTTCTAATTAGTGTTTGGTGTGACAGTTATTAAGCAAACATTTGAACTAAGAATCAATATTTTTAACTTAGTGTGCGACTGTGATGGATACTTGTATTGAGAAGTAAAAAATCACGATCCACCGATGCATCGGTGTATCATCCCACTACTATAACTTAGTAGTCTTGGGCGAACGGTCTAGCCTGAATTTTGAAGGCTGCCAAATCCCCCATGTATTTGTGAGTGAGTGAGTATGGTTTTACGCCGCTTTTAGCAATATTCCAGCAATATCACGGCGGGGGACACCAGAAATGGGCTTCACACATTGTACCCATGCCAGGAATCAAACCCGGGTCTTCGGCATGACGAGCGAACGCTTTAACCACTAGGCTACCCGACCAACCCCCCCCCGTATTAAGGACTCACACAGCAGATTATGCTGACGATGCTGGTGTCGAAGTTGGTGTCCAGGAGGAGAGCCTTGTAGTCCATCTCGTTGTTGACCACCACTGTCATCATCTTGGCCGAGACAAACATCAGGGGTGCCGAGATGAACGTCCCTGCCACCATACCAGTTGCAATCTGAAGACGGTGAGTGAACGATATTAATGGTGCAGATCTGCTCTTATTTATAAATCATATTTTATTCTCTTGAATTTTTTTCCTTTTTTTACCATTAACAAACAAGACACATAGAAGACTTACCACATCCTGTCCGAAGCCGTACTGACTGGCATAGAGGAAGACGGAGGGCGCTGTGGGGAATGTGCCGTACAGGAAGCCATACATGCTGAGAGCCTCACTGTCATTACACTTGGACTGCATATCTAGCCAGCCAATCACCTCCCACGTTATCAGCGGAAGCAGGAGTCTGCAATTATCATGAACGCCATTGTCATCATTCAAAGCCATTCAGTGTCAGTCAGACGTGTTTGTGATCAAATGCAAACAAAGAGAGAGATATTAAGTGTCGGCCAACTTGGCAATATGAACCAACTTACGACTTTGCACCGATGAGGAGGACTGGGCCGAGCAGCGCGATGCCGGTGAGACTCTTTACCTTCCCCACCAGACTGAGGCCCAGGTAGAACAGCGCAGCCGCACTGAACGCATTCCCTGCAACACACAATAAACCAGTGTTCAAAATTAACTACAGGTGCTCACTTTATCGTGGATTGTCTCAATGTTTTCCACTTTAATTATTTATCCGTGTCCCGCCTGACATGAGTGGTTCGAAGTCATAAGTACGCTTCTCACTCTCAGTAATAGGGACTCCTCACTGACCAATATTGGCCAATATCAGCGTTAGAAATTGGCACTAGTCCTTACAAAACTGCCCAATGACAAAGGTACCCTGAGGACTAGTAGAAATTGGCCCATTTTAAGGGTTTTGCTATATATCATCATCATAAGGACTAGTGGACAAAAACTGTTAGTTTCTAACCCTGAATATACCATTACATCGGACATATGTCTTATTTTCACACTCCATAAACCATTCGACAACTAAGAGGTAACCCAAAACAAAACATGCATTACCCTCCTCTTAAGATATTTTTAACAAATGACTGGTACCAAGATATCCAAATCCAAATTCATCGCCTGCTCAACAAACTTTTGCCGGCTGTGACGTCATAGGGATAAGTTAATGCATGGATGCATGTCCCCCCTTATGGTCTAAAACGAGGATGGTAGTTAGGGGCGGGGCTTATTGGATGGGATTGGATCGGTCTATTGCATTGTTACTTTGTGAAATTCACCATCAGATTCAGGAAAACAGATTTCTGGATAAACGGATCATATTATACGTTAATTTTTCGTTTTTTAAAAAAGTCATCCAGTAGGCAGAGTTTCTGGACAAGCAGGGTTCCTCTGTATATGGATGCGCTTGTTTGTTGTTTTATTTGTTTGTTGCTCAATGCTACACTCAGCAATATTCCAGCTATATGTCTGTAAATAATCAAATCTGGACCAGACAATCCAGTGACTGACATCATGACCATTGATCTACAGAATTGACGTGCATCAACCCAGTCTCGGGTCTGACAACTGGATCCCATTGTCACTGAAGATCAATTCTAACCAGAATCTTCATGGATTAGCACATTAAGTAAGCTTGATAATCACAAAGGTAGCTTTTGCTCTCAAGTGAGTTGCATATAAGGGTCTAATTAAAAATTGTCAGTCACAGTGTAGCAATAAATTGTTCTACTGCTAGTCAGGCAGGTAGGAATAAATTTCACATCTGACAGAAATATTACCAGCCATGGAATAGCAGGCAGGTATTTGAAAAGAACATAACTTACCTATAAGGCTGCAAATCACTGCAAAATTGCTGACACAGCCTAAAGCCAACTTTCATCACCAACTCACCTAGAACTGTCAGAATGTCATCAAGGATGAGAGGCACATGCTGCTTGAAGATGAAGTTTCCTGCTATTCCGATGGCTGTCATGAACACAATGGGGTTGGTGATGATTCCCTTGAACACATGCCAGATGAGCCGACGTGTGGAGTGCGTCGAGTCCACCGACTCGGTGCGACGCTTGTGTATTTCCATCAACACAAAGCCGAGCGGGTTGAGAAAGACGAGGGAGATGGGGGCCACCAAGTAGATATACTGCAGGTACTCTGGGTGGTTGTTCTGATACAGGGCCTGTACTGGAAGAGACAACATTCTTGTCATTAGATCACATCTTCCTGAGGCAAGGGAGTTAACTGACTACAAAAGTCCAGTTTCCACCCTTGCCGAACTGCGCTGGTATTACGAGTTATTTTTGGGTTGGACTAACGAGTCCATGAATTATCCAATCAAAATCATGTAATGAAATCAATAAAACAAATAAACTGCAGTACAGATTTTAGTCGATTGCAGAATTTGAAAAGCAAGTGTACTGCCAACTCGGCGTCATCAGATATTTTCCAAATCTTTTTATTTTTTTTTTATCAAGGTGCTCACGAGATTTGATGCACCTTGTGAAATAAGATCCAAAATAGGCTGGTAAAATAGATCTTGTTTGTTGATCAAATCGTCTTGACTTGGCGACACCATTTTGTTTGAAGCAAATGCAAGTGATATGCGAGGTGGAATCTGATTTCAAAAGGAGGGACATGAATGTGACATGACAAGTAATAGCCACAGGTGTCGCTACGATCAAGCCCAGAAATTCCAGCCCCGTTTGGCAAGAGTAGAAACTGGACCTTTATGGTCAGTTAACTCCCTTGCCCCGGTAAGATGTTAGATCAGTGTTCATTAACAGGGGTAGACACCATTGTTCAAATCAAACTAGTTTGCAGCTCATTTCGGACTAGTTGCTTACCAATCCATATTCACCTTATTAAGAGCCTTGTTCCAATAAGCAGTGTTAAGCACCCCCAACAAAATCCACAAATTTACATGACAGTGCATATGGTGTATTTTACGGATTTGTTACATAAAACAGCAGATCCGAAGGCGTATATAATTGCCTTGTGACGACGTTTAAACTAAGTTTTGTTCATGTGGGCTCAATATAATAATTGGGAATTTTTACTGACATTTACTTCAGACTTGGGGCCAAATATCGGCCTCTGAGCAGATCTTGATAAATCCCTTACATTGTATGACCTGCAACACTTTGGACAGGCAGTTTGGGAAAAAATGTTATTTTGCTCAAATTGGTCAGTGAAACACAAGTCATTTCTACAAAGCCATAACATCAATAATTACCATAAGATATGAATTGGAAAATCTGTAATTTTGATTTTTGAAGTTTTGCTGACATTTGCTGCAGATTTGGGGCCGAATATCAGCCCGAGCTATTTGTCACCACTCGCCCCTTCTGTAACCTGCAAGAAGACTTGTCCCCCTATCGATGAATGTTTTGTGCGAAAATACGACAAACCAATCAGAATGCGTCTATGACTACAAGTACTTCAGTCAAAGAATCCCCCAGGAATAATTTTTGCTTTAACATGTCTTGCATCCTAAAATATACCCTAGATACAGTTAAATGTGTTGAATCATACTGTATAAATAGCATAAGTCCTGATGTGTTTTAAATAGCATCTGGAATATATATGAAAAGAGGGAAATATATGTAAATCATTACACAACGAGGTGACAGTTCTTTTAACTATGCCTGTTTGAGCTTAGTGAGTGAGTGAGTGAGTTGGGTTTAACGCCGCTTTTAACAGTATTCCAGTTATATCGCGGCGTGTCAGCTTAATGTGGGAGGAAAGCCCGAAGTGATGCAGGTCTCAGACGTTTACCACTTCAGTGAAACCCACGAGCACGGGTTTGGTGCTGACAAACACAGAAACATAATCGGGGCGAACCGGGATTCGAACCCACAATCATAGGTTTCCCAAGGGACGCAACTCTGCACAGCAAATCGCGGCGCCTTAGACGACTGGGCCACCCCTGCCCCCTGTCCCAGAATAACACGAGTTGGTCACGAATGCCCCTGAGCATGTCTAGACAAATCCCTGCATTGTAACCATGTGGGAATCAAACCCTGGCCTTCCTCGTGACAGACAAGTGCTTCAACCACGAGGCTAACCTATTAACGTCCTTGGGCGAAATACATAACAGCTACCAAGTTTCTCCAGTCATGATCAGTCATAATGACAAACAAATATGATAACAACTATCACCTTGACCATGTGAACAGAGATAACTGTCTGGCATGTTGCAAACCGTATCAATACTCAGGGAGATGAAGAAGAAAACATGGAAAAAGGATGGAGTTTGGGGTATATAACCGTTTTGTTACGACACACTGGCGGATCAATTTTTCAGTCAAACTCAGCAAGGGCAACACTACAGTTTCCCTAAAAAAACCAAAAACATTTTAAAAGAATACTTGTTTTTTTGTTCATTTGTTTAACCCTGCACTCAACAATATTCCAGCTGACAGTGATTTTAAAAAATTGAGTCTGGACCAGACAATCCAGTGATTGACATCATAAGCAACAATCCATGCAAATGGGATACGATGACATGCATCAACCAAGCGAGTCTGACCACCCAATCCCGTGAGTCGCCTCTTAAAATAAGCATAGCATGGGTTGCTGAAGACCAATTCTACCCCTTTTAAAAGAACAACTTAAGAAAAACTATTTCTTTGTTCACAATAAGCCAATAATATTCATAATTTATGGTTGAGCATGTTGACAGTGAAACATCCATGTGATCAAACAACTATTACTAGTTGATTAAGAGTGAGTGAGTGAGTGAGTGAGTGAGTGAGTGAGTGAGTGAGTGAGTGAGTTGGGTTTGATGCCGCTTTTAACAGTATTCCAGTTATATGACGTGGGAGGCAAGCCTGAAGTGATGTAGGTCTCAGACGTTTACCACGAGCATGGGTATGGTGCTGACAAACCTAGAATCAGAGGTTTCTGGCGTGCCCAAGGGACGCAACTCTGCACAGCTAATCGCGGCGCCTTAGACGACTGGGCCACCCGTGCCCCCACTATGATTAAGAAAGCCTTTAGCATGGTAGGACATCAAGTTATGACCTTCTCACCATGTTCTACCCCACAAGAATAAAATAAATGTTAGCTGCATACATTCAGCTGACAACTAGCGTATACAATTAAAGGACACAACTCTGTATGAAATAGATATTAGTGATCTTAAACTATCCTACTGTCAAGCCCCCTGACAACACCGATTACAATGAAATACTATGAGACCATTGTCAACAGACCTGCCACTGACACTCTCACTGTGCAACACGATCAGTCTATATCTGCATGACAGCTTTGTGACAAGCCGCTCAACATACACCCACAGGCGTTCACACATCCATTCATCAAATACTTCTCTCGCTGAAACCAGCTTATTGTCATTGATTACAGTTGTAGGTAGGTCAAAGCTCTCTGAGGCACAGATGTTCTGAAAGTAATGTCCGTCCCCTAATCATGTTTATGCTTATCATGATATTTTTAGATGACCCACCACGTTTTTTCATGACAGTATTGACACTTCTTGAAAAGACAAAATGCAAAAGAACTTAATATTTTATGATGTAATGTCCATTTTTCACGACCCTTCCCAAATGTGTATCATTTTTTATGACGCTAAAAACACACACGCCCTTAGAGACTGTCATATATTTGGTGACAATGCCCTGATTTCCTATAAATGACCAGACCCGTGAAGATCCAGGGTAGAATAGGTCTTCAGCAACCCATGCTTGCCGTAAAAGGCGACTATGCTTGCCGTGAAAGGCGACTGATGGGATCGGGTGGTCAGGCTCGCTGACTTGGTTGATGCATGTCATCGATCCCAATTGCATGGATCGATGCTCATGATATTAATCACTGGATTATCTGGTCCAGACTCGATTATTTACAGACCACTGTCATATAGCTGGAATATTGCTGAGTGCGGCGTTAAACAACAAACCAACCAACCAACTATAAATGACCAGTCCCTAAATGACTGGCAAGATACACGCTGTATAAATACCATGACACACAAGCATTTTACAGCTGTTCATACGTCTACACAGACTGACAAAGACAGATTGTGTATGTCAACTAACGTTGCTGAGTGTCAACAAAAAATATGGTGGATATATTTCCAATAATCATTGGTGTATAAGGGCATATGACATGGTTCATTTGATTTAACATGTTTTAAGAGCATTTATGATGACATACATGTTATATACTTGTAGGCCAAGGTGCAAAATCAGCCCCGGGACAAGCAGAGAATTATGCAATATTAGTGTATCATCATGGCCATGGTTGAGTCGGAAAATGTAATGAGGTGGGACACATTGGGCTTCATTTACAGAGCTCCAGATAAGCTTTTGGTGTTGTGGGTATTTTACCCATGCATTTTAAAATCATTGTGTATAAGTAATTCTATCTGGGTATTCAAATTTCTGTTACCCACTAGTTTTTACACATGTGGGTATTTAAGTTAAATATTTAAAAACACTATTCATCTGGTCCCTGCAAACTGGTGTCGTGTGGGTTCGAGAGCTTTATAGGACTCAAAAATACCACGATACTTCCACAAGAAAGTGATCATGATGTAACTGTCATCGTGGAGTTTGGCAAGGTTGACGGAATGCCCGTTTATAATTTAAAAATAAGTTCCTGATTTGCTAATCGAATACGCAGGGTTACTTCACAATATTTTGATGATACGCACAAGTTTTATTTTTGTAGCGTATCTGTAATGTTCGTTGCGTATTTGATACGCTTGGATTTTATTTTACTGCGTATTTCTGCATTTCTGATGCGTATTTTATGCAGATACGCAGCTTATCTGGAGCTCTAATTTTCATGTAGAGATATCTTTTTATGCTGATATGAACAATATTACTGATGTTTTAATGATGATTAAATTAACATAGCCAAACAAGCATTTTATCTCTGTATGTAGATCATGCAATCTGATCATAATTATATCATGTATATAAAATAACATTTACCCACCAGCTGGTACACATTGTGAGCAGGGGTCCGGAAACCGTCATATGCGCCGGACATGTCCGATTGGGAATCTCAAATGTCCGTTTTAAAATATTGCTTACCGGACATTTTAAAAAGTATTGTCCGGACATTTTAAAAAGTATTGTCCGGACATTCTTAAATTTTGACCGGACATGATCAACAGTTAGGACTGAGCAGTTTCTGTCTGCAGTTGCAAAACAATGAAGATT